GCTCCGGTATGGGACATTTCACTATATGCAGCGGCATCATTAGCCATGGTCCTCTGGGAGTAAGTTCATCGACCGGCTAATAGGGCCGCAGAATTTGCTATCAATACCACAAACACTGACTTCGCTTCTTATCATTCTTAACGCCTTCAGCTACTTGCTGACGCTTCCGGATGAAATCCGGTGGTATCGGAAAAAGGGCTTCGTGTTGATCACCCTCCCATTCGTTATCGTTCGCTACGTACCGATCATCTGGCTAGTGATGTTTCTGACTGCCGTACGCGCATTTTGGACGGAAAAGCCCTGCGACTTGATCGCGCGAACCATCCCCTATGTTTGCAGCATCGTCACCCTCGGCGCCTCGGCCATTTTCGTCTTCCGCACTTGGGCCATTTACAATCGCAACCGAACCATTCTTTGTCTTCTCTGTTTTCTTTGGGTCGGCCAGGCAGTCTGCACCCTCCTCTTCGCCTCCTTCGTGATACCATTGGTCGGACCTGGCGGCTTAAGTTGCTTCCCGCTCTCCAAATCACACGCAAATGTCTTCTACGCAAACTTCGTCACCATCGTCGTCTTCGACGTGGCCATCGTCCTCATCTCGTCCTTACGCTTGCTGAAGGGCATCAAAGCTAGCCCTACCCAGAGTACCGCGAGTATCTGGAGTCAGCGCCTCCTAGCAGACGGCTTGCTTTATTTCATTGCAGTCCTCGTCGTCAATGTGCTCAATGCTGCATTCTTTGCTGCCAACCCGCAGTGGTCGTATTCATCCATTAACGCAGCTCTCAACATCGCAGTCACTGGCATCTCTGCTTCCCGACTGGTCCTCTTTAGCGGCTCCAACAGTGGCGGCGCTTTAGGCATGCTCGGTGTCTTCGCGCTCTCTGGCCGAGGTAAAAGCAGCAGCGGCAGCAGCAATCCGGGGCAGTCGTCCACAGCCAGTGGCAGTGCAGGCGTCACCCCAGTTGGCGTTATGAGCTACGACGGCCTGCCCGTCAGCGAGTACTCTCAAACCGGCCACACAACCAATGCTACCAACCTCGGCTCGCCCATGAGTGGCTTCGGCTTCGAACCGACAAAGGGCGATGGACGCAGTCCCACCCATACTTTCACGAACGAAGTCTCCCCCACTCAACAAGCACACGCCCGTCCACTTGCAAGCGACGTCGCCCAGCCCCGAAACACTTGCTCGATCAACCAGGCCCACGTCATTCAGAAGATCGAGGTTGAGCGTGAAGGCTAAACGAATGGCTCATAAGCTATCACAAAAAACACGCCCTCGGCCGTGACACATGCAGCTTCACATTTTTTTGCTTCTCTCTCTCCTTGGGTTTTGTATACTTGGTGCCTTTGCAGACCTTACTTCCGGACCATGACGAGTCACGCTTTGCTAATCTTTGTACCGTTCATAACATTTAATCTGCCAACATTCGCAATGGAATCATTTCATGAGTTTCGAGTATGGTGTGCGCTACACGAATAAGTTTGGAATTAGTGATCGCGTCTGCATGCACAATAAAGACAATGACATTATCCATCTTCAATTTGAATGAAACCTGCTGAGTGTAAGGTTTCAGACTGTTGCAGTGCCTGTCAACGCGACGCGCTCCTTGCACCAAAGCAACCTGTGTAACCCATCAAGAAGCCGTCCACCACTTCCATCTTGGACATACGGCGTATCGATCCACGTCCTTGCATCAAACTCCTTCATTTGGCCACGGATGTCATCGTTGTACACGGCATCATCATGACCTCCGCCATTTCCTGTTCGCTTGTACCCACTTTGGAGAGAGCTGCTCGGTCCATCAAGACAAACGACTCCGACTGCGGCTAGCAACTGAATTTCTTTGACGCTTGGGCAAAGGCGCCAGTCTGTACGTCACAGCTTCCGCCTAGCGCATATGGATAGTAGCGAAAACCCAATGATGCCACGGCCTTCGCAAGCTACACCCATACGAAATGTAGAGCTCGATGCTCGCTCGCTCGCACAACGGCTTCTGCCGAACCTAATACCGCTCGTTGGAGATGTTTCGGGTCCGGGATGCATCAGATGGTCAGCCGACGGTAAGGTCCTGGTCGTCCTCAGGACCGGACTGCACATCATTGTTGGTGCAGACTACCAGCTTCAGACCCGGCTTGAAGCGTATCTAAACCATCTGTTTTCCTCCCCCGTCAAACATTCGCGCTGGGCTTTGATCGCAAGTTCATCCGACAACACTCGATTGCGGGCGAAGCCAATGACACTGGTCTCAATCTGAACTGCTTTCATGGTCACATAAAGCGTGAGGGTGACCTGATTGCGCCCTCAAGAGGGCGGACGCTCTACAATGCTGGTGTGTGCAACTCTTTAGCGTGAGGCCTTGATCGTTCGCAGCGTTGACAGGACGTGTTTAGTTAGACTTTGCTGGTCAGAGTACAAGCTTCTGGACGCAAGCATGACGTGATGCAAGATGGTCGCCTGTGGGGCTGCACGGGCCATTAGGAGGATGCTTGGTTGCAGCTCTGTCAAACGAGCTGGAAGTGTCCATCTTTCAGCCGCAAAGCCATAAGGACAGCCGAACGGATCACTGGGAGCAAATTGAGAAACTCGATTTTCTCATCGCACCCGAGGTTGCAGCAAGGGAACACGAGGACGGCGAAGATGACATGAGCACTGATCTGTTGGAGCCGGACAGACAACGAGAAAAAGAGTTGCTAGACGAAATGGACTCGCAAACCATCTGTCTCAACTGGCTTGCTGCACCTCAAGGGCGAGCTACCCGCGGTGGTGCCGCAAGGCCATCCCTTCTTGCAACTGGGTCCCGAAGTGGCATACTTTCGCTGTGGCGGCACGTTCTTGATGCGCTCGTGCGGTCAAATCCTTGGCCGTGACTGATTTATTGTGCGAGCGTTGCAGATGGGACCCTAACCCTAACCCTAGTACTCCAAAATCTGATCCGTATCTGCTTCCTTATAACACGACCTAGCGCAGCGAACTACTAGATTGCCCGTAGTCAATTCCAATGGCGCCAACCGGTATGATAAACTGCTACCCCTCCCGCCTCGAATACAGTGGCACCTGGAAATCATCAACGGTGATATGTGAGCCAAGACAAGTCACTCCACGGGGCAGCATGTAACAGTTGAGCTCCTTGTTGACGATATCAGCGTCAAGATGAGCGCATACAATCACAAATGTGTGGAGACGTCTCTGGAGGTCGCTGATCATATCGGTATCATTTAATGGTCGTCGGCGAGACTGCACTGCGCAATTTCCTCTTGAGTTCAAAGTTGCGGTAGTCGGCACTCTATTGCCCTTGCCTCATCCTTAGCGCCTCACTTACGAGCCCCGCTGACTCTCCGATCCCCCCTCCGTTTCCCACTTCTTTCCCCCAATCCCAAGATTGCATCCTTTGGCTGTTGACGTGTACGCCGATGCAGGCGATACTGTCTGCTGGAACCACAAAGAATACACCTGGCGCCACTTAGTCGTGCGCGCGAAATGGAGAGGATTCTGTTCATATGAGGACTCACCTCGATGTAGCGTGGCATCTAGATCGCACCGATCCTTCTTGAGACAGAAAGGCTATCCATCCATGCAGCATACAGACAGCGACTGGAACTCGCGGTCGGGAAAGCTGAGAATGGAGCAAATGGCAGATGCGGAGCGGCGATCATGCCTGCGACAGGTTGAAGAGCAGCTGAAACCTTCCGATACCAACTCTTTCTCTTTTTGCTTTGCGGGTCAGGAATCGATGTGACGACGCATCTTGGCCCTTATCTTATAAATAGCATGTGCACGACATGCAAAGAGGCACGGCCGCGCGGGATTCTAAGATTCCCTTGTTACTCGGCAGAGCTGCCACACCTATTTCTCGTCGAGTTGGTCATTCGTTGAGGGTGGACGTGATCCATGGACGAAGTGTGATATCGGGGAACGGTGAAAGATGCTGTAGTATAGGATTTAGTGCAACGCTGGATTCGGTTTCTGTGTTATTATGTACTTGATTTACGCTGTTGTTACCCATCGCCTGGACGTGCGTGGCGTCACCGTGCTGAAATTAAGAAACGTTTCCCACCGGTCAGTCACGTAATCGTAGATGGGCTGTCATGACATTGCACCTTCTTACTCTCTTCGCTCTGAGGTGATCTAGACTCTGAACAGCAATCGAAGTCACGTAGTCTCCTAAAAGCACTCTTGAGAAGAACACGCGGCTGCACACCCCTGCAGGTGGAGATTGCGGATTGCGCATGCTTGGAAGGACTTGTACTTGAAGCTGTTGCACACTAGACTGAAGCAAACGCACAACCGTCGCGGTCGGCCTTAGCAAGGTCTACGATCGTGACTCCTCTGTCGTGCTCGGCTTAGTCAGCGGCATCATGACGATCCAGATCCCATCAGACTGCGTGCATGCCTACTCTACGGCGCTTGCAACGTTCAACGAACACGTCAGCAGTGAACCGAAGGCCGTCGGCGATAGACCGGATACTTACCTGGCGTGGGTTGATACCTTGGCGAGTTTATTTTGCGAATTGCCAGATGCGCAAGACGCATGTTGGGGCACAAAAAGCAAATATACAAGCGGGGCATTCTGGCTAGGTTAACATGTACTTGTCTAGACATTGCTGGCAAAACAGGATCTGCCGACGAAGGGTCGCTCGCTCTAGGCCCCGTGGCGCGCTTCGCGCTTACCCTGTCTCCGCCGTCGGCAGCGCCCTCAAGGCGCACATCTAAACGTCGTCGCATCGCTATGAGCACATCTCCTGAGGGAATGATTGACTCGGCTCCGTGCCAGCGACCATCAAAGGCTCATCCGCGCTCAGGCGAGGAACCGCAAATAGACCAAGGTGGACATCGCACTGCAGCGTAACAGAAGTGCTCGGGACGTCTTGAACGGGTTCCGACACCAGAGACCGTCGATGGAGGAGAGCATTGGTGGTGGAGACAGTCTGAACACATGATGGAATCGAAGGGGGCAGCTGGAGTACTCTGCACTTTGTCGGCCTCAGCGAGGATGAGAGATTATGGGATTTTGCGGAAGATGTGTCGGACGACGCTCCTCCAGCTTTCGAGTTCCAAGTAACGAAGCCCGGAAACCCTGTGAGCAAGCGATGCCGAAAAGCTATCAACGACATCCTTGCAAAAGCTTAGGCGTCAAAGACTAAAGACACCCGTAACCCCCGAGTGAAGCAGCGCCGTGAAACCAAATCGAAACAGACTCAAACTACATCGGCTGAGCCATCGCCACTTGCAGCCTAGCCATGACAGTTCACTGGTGCATGGCCACAATCTGCACAGCCGAATGCCAAGATTGTACCCCAGATCACGCATTTGTCAAGGATGAGGCCCCGGGTGCAGTCTATGTCAGATTGTGCATCAAGCGTCGAGGGGAAAGGGGCGCGTCAAGCGAAAAGTCAGCCGTTCATTCAACCTGTAATAACTCAATTGTCCACAGCCAAGCCAACGCGATCTGAAGCCAAGCCTCCATCGTCGACTAGCGGTCAGCCACAAGGCGTGCGGGACAAGACGAAGCGAAAAGCAAGGATGTGGCCACTATGACAAAAAAAGCTTAGTCCACGCTCTCCTTTGGGCGAGTCATCGGCAGCTCAACAGTCGCGCACAATGCTGTCGCAGCAACTGGTCAGCCGTCAACCGCCAGTGGAGAAGCCGCCTTGGGGAATCATTGAAGAAGAATAGCACGACAAAGTCGAGTGTATTCTGGTTGAAGGTGGCCGCGTGGGTATACCTCGGAATACTTTGTCAAATGGGTTGGAGAGAGCGACACCGAACGAGACTGAGTTCTTGTGTCGGATCTGTCACACAGTGCACCTGTCATAGTCGAAGTCCGCTAAGCGCACCCAACCGGCCTGTGACACACCGACGGCGACGCATCGTCGAGGCCATTATCGCACATCGTGCAGCTCCACATCAGCCGACGAGGAGGCAGCGTCACGAGATGACAGAGTCAGCGCGAATAGAGAGCTAAAAGGCCAAGCCGAAGGCTCACGCCGCCGAGAACAGCAGCCATCTGTGAACCCTGAGCTCATCGATAGTGAAGTGCACGTTAAGGTTGAGAAGATCCTATATTCTCGCTGGAGTACGAGCGATACGGACAATTCGACTCGCCAACTGGAAAACTTTGTCCACTTTGCAGGGATGGACAAAAAATCATGAATGGGTCATCGCACAGGACATGAGCCATGGCGCGCCTGCCGTGGTTGCCTTCTACTCCATTCACCGTGGAAGCCGTGCACAAAAGGACGCAGACAAGCCATCTGTTTGATCCCCAGTGCCAGGCGCTAGAACAGCGAAAGTAACTCCCATGGACGCGCTGCTATGGACAGGGGCTATTGAAGAGTTACTACATCCTTGATCCAGTAAGGGAGATTGGCCTTGGGCTAGCACGCACAATTCAGATGCATCAATTTCTCTCGCACCTTTGCCAGCTGCGCGCACAACTTGATGGACCAGGTTTAGAGGGTTTGAAAAATGAAAGACTTGCCGCTTGGCAGCTCTCACTGCTACCGTAGGCACAGACACAGTGTGCGATGCCGCCTGTTCTGTACGCTCGGCACTTGATCAGAAGGACGTAACTGGGAATGCCTCTGATCACATTCTGGACTTCCTACATTTGACTCGTTCAACCTGCCATCTCCTGCTCGCCAACGTCTTCTCCCTGAGGCCCTTGCATCGCCGGTGCTGGACCTCCACCCCCTTGGCGTCCGCGACGAGCCGAGACCACGTCATCCACGCGAAGCAAGAGCGATGCAGACTGTATAAGCAAAAGAAAGGGGTTCAGTATTGCTTGAAGCAGTACGCAGATCGCCTGTCAGGAAACCCACTTCGATCGCCGTCTTGAGGGTCTGGATCTTGACTGCTGCGCTTTCGTACAGCGGATAATCCTTCATGTCGACAATCTTTCCAGTGTGGCCATCTACGCCAGCCGAAAACTCTCCATTGGCATGCTTGGCACGCAAGCTTGTGAGCGTCTTGATCGCGCTGCCTCCACAGTTTTGGATGAGGGTTCGGGGGATGACCTCCATCGAGTCTGCGACAGCCAGGATCGGCCCGACCTCGACACCCTCCATGCTGTGCGCAAAGTCTGCCAACCCGACGGAGACTGCCATCTCAGTCGCGCCACCTCCAGGCGCAAGGTGAGGGTGGAATACCACATTCCTTGCCACCGCCATAGCGTCTGCAAGGTTGCGTTCTACCTCGTTAAGAATGTCCTTGCTCGGGCCGCGGAGAAGAATTGTACACGCTTTCGGGTCCTTGCACTCTTCCAAGAAGGTGCTGTTGTAGCGGAGAGAGACATGGTCAATTCACTTGCAATGCTGCCAGCCATCACACTCCTCACACATACAAGTATTCATCACCTAGCTTTTCGATGTGGAAGAGACCGCACTTTGTGCCAATATCGCTTTCGCGCAAGTCTTCCACTCTGTTGACGATCGTCGCGCCGGTCGCTCTTGCGATGCGGTTGTTGTCTGATTTACGCACTCTCCGAATCGCGGTGATATTCTCCTTTAGCAAAAAGTGTTGGGCAAGGTCTGTAGCCAAAGAAGCCCGAGTCAGATCTTCCCGCTTGAACAGAGAACAAATTACTCACCCGAGACCCCCTTTTCGGTGAAGACGAGATCAGGCTTGAACTCGACAATGCGCTTGCACATGAGCCGGATTTGTTCCTCCTCAATTTCGAGAATGCGGTTCCAATCCTCCTCCTTGGTGATCTCGATGTTGGTCTGCGACTCTCCCTTCTTGTACTCCAGCGGGCAATCGAGCAGCATGATCCTCGGGTTCTCAATTCGCCGCCGCATCTTTGGATGTGTGACATCTTTGTTGAGCATGACACCATCCAACACTCTCGATGACTCGATCTCGCCCCCCGGGACCTTCTCCACCCTGGCAAAGCGCTTCAGGTCGACAACCTTGTTGGGATCCGAAGACGAGCTCCCGCTACTCTTGTCAATGTCTGCCACTGTCCGGACTGCCTTGAGCGCAAGCTTGCACATTAGGTCCGACCATCGGCTGACGAACTTGGTTCCGATGGAAGTTTTAATGAGGGCGAGCATCTCCTTCTCGTCGTCAACATTGACTGGAACTGAGATCGACTCGATGATTGCGAGAGCTTCAGCAAGCGCCTTCTTGTAAGCAGAAATGATAACGACTGGGTGCAACCCCCGCTCTAGATGAGCTAGGGACTGCGCAAGAATTTCACCAGCCAGAATGATAACGCTCGTTGTGCCATCTCCCACCTCCTCATCCTGCGTTCTGCTCAGCTCGATCATGCTCTTCGCCGCTGGGTGGGCAACCTCGATCTCTCGCAAGATAGCATTGCCATCGTTCGTGAGCAAGATGCCACCCATCGGATCAAGAATCATCTTGAGCATGGCTTTGGGACCAAGGCATGTTCGAATGACATCTGCAACAGTCTGTAAAGAGCAAGGGCATCAGTCGTGAATGTAGCCTGCATTCCACATAGTAGGGTGTGGCTCACTTTGGCTGCTGTGATGTTCGAAACCTGTGCCTTTCTGCCATGCTGGCGCTCCGGGCCCGAGTTGAGCACAAACACTTGCTGACCGCCCTGTGAGGCCATCTTGACCAATGCCTACGAGCGCTCGAGAGGGGGAATGGGTTGGCTGCTGCGACAACTCCACTGGCGAAACAGAAGCTGCACAGCTGATTAGAAGCTCGACTCGGGGTCTTTGAACAAGTCCCGGGGATGTTTTGCCTTCAGACAGCTTGAGCACTTGGCAAACCTCGCAAAGAAGCACGTTCCAAACCGGGTTCGTCAGGGTGTAGTCGCGAGGGCAAAGGAAAGCTTCGCGCTCGCCGCCGATGGCTGGCCGAGCGCTAACCTTTTCTTCTCATCACTGCAGTGAGTCTGCGCTTTCGCGCCGTTCCGCTGTGTGTTGCACACTTCCATAATCATTTAAACCTTTTAGGGTTGAACTCTCTGCCTTTTCAAATCTAGTCTCATCACCTGGACGGTGCAACGGGTGTGGTTGAACTCGTTACAAAACGAAGCGTTGCAGACTCGCAAGCTAGAATACAGCGCTCAAGCCCTGCTTTTGAAGGTCCTGCCCGTCGCTGTCTTTCGCTCCTTTTCTGTCTGCTCCGGTTTGGCTCGGTTGAGCACCTTGAGGAACTCGGCAACGCGATGTCGCATGCGTGACTGCATATACGCCTTGGAGCATTTAACTGTAGGTGTCAAGTTCGAAGATCCTATTTAGCAAAACTGGAGCGATGTAAGACGGCGCAGCAATCGACCCACTGTGATAGTGCAGATAGTCTCGGAACAGTTGAATTTGGCTGACGGTCGTGAATGTCACCTCGGCGTTCTGGAAATGTCTCGGAAAGAGGACTGCGGAGAAGTGGTGTAGTGGGGGTGAGAAATGAGGGCGAGCGCGAGTCGAATCGAGCGTATGGGAACGTACCAAAAGTCACATATCCAACACTCTCGCCCCGTGACAGACCCTTGATCTGCCGGATTTCTAATGGTGGTTCTCGACTTGAGTACAGGACCTGCGGTGCATTTTGGATGGACGACTGCCTTCGTGCATCAACGAATTCCTAGCAGAAGAGACGCCAAATGGATTCAGCTGGCGCAAAGCAGGTTCGATAAACAGGCACGACGCACCTGCAGGAACACTCTGCCAAAGATCTTGTCCGTCTCCTCCTTAAAGGTTGTGCTAAAAACGACAGTTACGCGGTCCGCAGCCGGAATGACATAGATGGCCTCGTCATCTCTGTAGTTGATTGTCATGATGTCACCCGCGCTCGTGCCGCCAGAGCCTGCCGCTGGGTTCGCGTTGCCTTCTGCAATCTTCTCCAGATCGCGTTGAATACCGAATGCTTTTTCAAAGGGCGCTGCCATTGCATTTCGCTTGATCAGAGAGACCGAATGGATGAGTGCATCGCGCTCAGCTATGAATAAATACGTAAATGAAGTGTCAGCACAAGTACCAAATCGGAGCGGGGCACGCAAACGACTCACGACCTGCGGGCGGCAAGCTGGCGTAATCGAATTGAAGGGTAAGGCTGTATTCGCTTTCCGTCTCTGGCCGAATATAGCTGCCATACTCTCGTTTGATGATATCCATAGCGCCATACTGCGCAAGCTCGTTCCAGCAGCGGATGTCCATTGAAAGAGCCAGCGGCCCGGCTTTGGTGGACTCGATGTGGTATGCGACTCCATCGAAGTCTGTGAACGTCTGATCGACCGATGCCGGGCTGCGCAGGAAAGCGAAGGGACATCCGGAGCATCAGCACATGCCCTTACTTGGTGATATGGCCCGCTGCATGTTCCGCTGAGACAGTCTGCAGTCAAGCGACTCACTTGGCAAAGCGGGATGTCAGCAGCTCACGGATGATAGTATTCTCCGGCTCGAGCAGGATCATTGTGGATGTGTGCACGGATGCTTCCGGAGGTAAGCTAGCGCACAATCTTTATCTTCTCTCGGCAGCGCAAACCCCTGCGCTCACGAGGAATCCACTATAGTATAGACCGTGGATGGGTTTGGCCTCCTGCAATAGAGATGGTTACCCACGCTGTGCAAGGATCAGTGCAGACGAGTTGTTATTGAGGTTGCCATCTTGCAGCGCATTGGCTCCTACGACCTCTCTCTCCCTCACAGGCGTCCCCCCCTCGACCAACACCGGCATTCGCGCGCTCTTGCACAAGAGCGCGCACTGGCCACATCACCACACAACACGCCGCCCACAGCAGATGAGATCATCTTCGATCACTATTTCATCACTTCCAGAACCCAAGCTCTCAGAAGGCATCGAGCATACTCGAACGCTTGCATGCACCGATCATTAATCACACACTCGTGCTTCAGACGATCGTAACGTATAGTGTATCAGAGCGCCCGGTAAGGGAATCACATTTTTGGCGTCAGCTTTATTCTGTGCCCCCGTCGACTGCGGCGCCAGTGTCGCCGCCGGCATCACAGTCGCGCACACATCTACCAACGTCGTCGAGTCAGGATGAAGCGCAACGAGGTCTCTTAATATCATCGAACAAACCGACCTCCGGTTGGCTGGTATTGATTCTGAAATGAGCGCCACGGACGATCAATATGTGGCCCCAAAGGATTTGCGGTCTCGGATTGCGGCCTTTGAGGCTAACAGTCCCGGTGGGCAGTTGAAGCTAATGCAGCCGTCCGTATCAGCACCAAAGAACCCTGGCAATCAATATCAGTCAATCAAGCCACCTTTACGTCCAAATAGATGGCCAGAAATCCAGTCAACGGTTGCTATTTCGGCATCTACTAGCAGCAGCAACGATGCGAATGGCCAAAATGAGGCACGGCCGAGTGTCAAAGACATATTGGCCAGGTACAACGGGCCTTCGCTCGAAGCAAGCTCGGTAAAGGAGAAGAAAGCACCACCTGTCCTTGACCCCAAGATCTCCGACATCACTGTTCAGCATTCGCACCAGCCGGCAGCGCCTGCTACGACTGTTTCCGTGGCAGAGTCCTTAATATCTGGTCTGCAAGACTGTCCCGCAAAATCAACCGCACCGCATGTGCCAACTCGTCCGACTGCAACTGCGAAGCATCTAGACTCAGGAGCGAAGTCTGAAAATCCATCTGCCGCCCCTGTGAGCGCTCGCTGCCCATCGCCTCTTTCACCATCACGGACGTCCACACAAGTCCAAAAAGATGCTCCAATTTCAAACGCCAAGGCGTCATCAACTTATCCCCCTGTGAAAGGCGAGAAGGGCGAAGCGGAACAGCCAAAGCTAAGTGCCGCTACTGGTCCAAACAAGCTGCGTCCGGCACTGCCGTCGCGCAGCGGCAAGCCTGTCGTACCGCCAGGCCCTAGTGAGCAGAAGACTGCTCAACCCTCAGTATCAAGCACCTCAGCACTATCATCTGCGCAGGCTCAAAAAGAGCCAGAGAGGCTTGAAGCCCCGCTAATTCCTGCTCGTCCGCGTACCGTCGAGACCATGGCTACATCGGAGGAGAGCGCTTCAAATGCACCTTCAAATGAAGCGTTACCTCCTTCTCTTCCGCGCAGACCCCCTCAGCGAGGGCCCGCTTCCTCCTCAAAGGTAAACTCGGACGGAACCCCACCATTTCCAAATCGTTCTGAGACGGCCTTCACCGCTGGCCCCAATGGGTCAAGCACCCAGCCAAGGAGCATTGATGTCCTGCCAGCACCCGCCAATGCGCTATTGCCTCCACCTTCGCGCAGCGCAACTGCGTCGAGCGGGCGTAGCTTTGCGACAGCCGCACCAACCGAAGTCAAGTCGCCCCGGAGCATTCAAGCGCACGCGCAAGTATCAAGCAACCTAAGTAACTCTAGCCTCCAACACGCTGGGTCGCGTCTCGATGGAGTCCAATGGAATTTCGACATCCCCTTTTCGCAGCCTGGCAAAAGCGCTGGAACCACGAATGGCCAGCGCACTGTGCGTAAAGGTGTTTTCGAGGAACGCAAGCAGCCGCGAAGTCCTTTGCTGCGCGACCCAGACGCAGAAGCTTGGCGCCGTTACGATATGCTATTCGAGGAAGAGCTCGAAAGGGCGGCACAAATGCACCGCATCCGCTCTCAGGTGGCACAAACCAATAGTGCGAAGTGCGCTCCGCCAGATGGCTTGAGTGAAGAGCAGTGCCGAGGGATCTGGGCCAAATCCAGACTGTCAAATAATTTTATTCGTGGGTTGTGGCAGACCGCTGTCATTTGGCAGCAAAATTCGCAGTTGCTGGATCTGGAAGACGACCCAGCGGAGCCACAAAGAAGCGGCCTCAAAAAAGAGGCGTTTGCCAAGGCGATGGCAGGGATAGATGCCGAACTGCTTGATCGTAAACTGAGTAGTAGCGGGTGATGGAGTGGGAATCTCAGAAGATGATGCCAAAGGTGTGGCTATCTTGCGCATTATATGATACATTGCTGGGACCTAAGCAGGCTTGGCCCCGGTGTTAAGTGAAAATGCGACTGATATGAGCAAGAGGGGTGACTTTGAGAGCAGTCGTCTAGGAACAGTCGAGTTATCCAGGTTTTCTGTCATTACTGCTGGGCACATTGAACGCCTTCTGCACCATCTTGGTCCTCGTCATCGGACCACTCCTCATCGCCATGGGCGCCGGAAGATCCAAACTGCGTACAGAAATTGAGGATCAGTGTTAGGCATGGGCTACTGGATGTCTTGCTTTACTCACACGTTCGACGTTGACCGGCGCAAGCTCTTCGTCATCTACAACCGAGTCCTTGTCCTGCGGCGGCTCAGGAAGAGGCGCCGGCAAGAGAGCAGCAAGTTTTGTCGCCTTGTCGCCGACAAGCTCGCCATCTTCCGGAAAACGAATGTCCCAGTGGACGTAAAGATCGCCCCACTCAATCTCCCGCTCGATTGGCATGCCAGCTCCGCTGATGCGGTCAACATCTCCGGGGCGAGTAACCTGGCCGGGTTGCTTCTGGACTTTGATGAAGCGTCCATCCAAGTGCTTGATGATGATGCGCTCAAAGCCAAGGAGTGCCTCTCTGAGACTAAGCTGAGCATGGACCATCAGGTCGAGTCCTTTCATCTCGAACGTGTCATGCTTCTTAACCCGTAGGATGATGATGACATCGCCCGTTTCAGGGACGCCAGGCTCCATGTCGGCCAATCCTCGAAAAATGATTTTCCGCCCTGGACGCATCCCGCGCTCGATACGAAGCTCTAATGATCGGGTCTCGAGGTGCGTCTTGCTGCCTTTGCATTTCCTGCACGCGTCTTTGTCCCGGATCTTCTTTCCCTCTCCGCCGCATGCCGAGCACCTCACCACGCGCTGCGAGATGAATCCTCCCCCAACAGACATGCTCTCGACCTTCTGGCCCTTGCCGCCGCACGTGACACAGCTGGTGGGCTTCGCTCCCTCTTTGGCACCTGATCCTTTGCAGTGTGTGCACAGAATGTCGCGTGTGAGAGAGAACTTCGCAACCCGGCCATTGTAAAGGTCTTCGAGTGTCACATCGTACTCGATCACCGAGTCCTCTGTCCGTCGTTTGGTGCGCGGTGTACCCCCCCCTCCCATGCCGCCCCTTCCAAACCCATGGTCTCCCATACCACCAAACATGGACGCTAAATTCGTTGGAAGCATAGAAACGGTCAATGGCATAATTCCCCTTAGTATCAAGAATTCTCCTCCTACGCACCGAAAACATTGTCAAAATCTGCGCCACCAAAGTCGCCTCCCATGCCACCGTTCTTCATTCCATCCGGGCCATACTGGTCATAGGCTGCTCGAGTTTCATCGTCATTGAGGACCTCGTACGCAGCGCTGATGTCTTGAAACCGAGCGCTGGCGCCTTCCGGATCGTCAGGATTCTTGTCTGGGTGATTTTGCAGGGATGCTTTTCGATATGCCCTCTTGAGCTCCGCGGCTGAGCAATTCGGCGCCACTCCCAGCAAATCGTAGAAGGCGGTATCAACGACCATTGCGGAAAGGCACTCCTGACTGCGACCGGCTGGCGCTTTTGCAGACTTTTCCACAGTTTCAAAGTTTCCTAGATCGGTGGCCTCAACCTGCGGCAGGAAGGACAGCTCCAATTCCAGCCGAGATGTCGTATGAGTCGAAGGACCCTGTCAACCAATCAATCCACCGATGTCTGATCGACTCGACTTTTCGACGTTGGAAGTAAAGGAACACGTGATCATTCATTCAGCCCAAGGCGTGGCATGGGTCCCATCGGTGCATCTTCCTCGTCTTCCTCTTCTCTTGCCTTATCACTCTTGGTCGACTATGGCATGCTGCTGTGTGCTCCTCAGACTTGCATGAATTTAGACATTATCCTTGCCTTCGCAGAGTGCCTGTGCACCTCTGCTCATTGGTTTACCGTAAATGTTGAAGGTCGCAACAGAATTCATATGAGTCTCTCCTTTATATCGTGAGCCGTCATCAACGGGAAATTTTCGTGAATATGTCGCCAAAGGGCCGCCCCACTCCGCTACCGAACCTCCTCTAGAGGTTGAACGCAGCGTTGGCTCTGGAGACGAGCGACCCGAGGGTGAGACCGCTCTTACTGGCTGCATAGTTCGCCTGAACAAGGACATCATGGCTTTGGCAGAAAAAATGACCCAGGAGTGCGACGATGATCGCTTTTACCTGCCCAATTTTCTCAGGTAGGTGACCGTTACCCGTCGTATCATCACGCCGCCCAACGATCACCCCCTGCTCAGCGTCCTCGGCCCAAAATTGATAGGCTCGAAAGACCTGGCAGTCTCCCGCTCCTCCGATTCGGTCGACCATATTCTCACCCGATTTCAGTCAGCCGTCGACCATGCCAGCGCAGTCGCCCGCCTCCTTGCGGAGGTAGTATGCATATCCGGAACAGGAACCTGGGTACTGCCAGCACGGCCGGCAAACATACCAGTGCCCTTTTTCCCACGCAAATAGAAAAGCGCCCAGTCTATCAACAGCGCGTTATGTCGCAAAGTTGTCGATATCAAGAAGGTGATCGAACGCTGCAGCCTTCCATGAATGGCGAGACAAACATCCTTTACGAGACCGACCGCGCGGCGGTGCATGGTCTGCTTCATCATTAGGGCGACGATTATCTTACGGTAGGCGCGGTAGCACTCTCCGAGCTTGGTGCTGGAGACCACCAGTCGTTTATCTCCCCAGCGTCGGCAATGCAATCGTTGACGTGGCTTCCAGCATCCCATTTGCCGTCTTCGCAGCGGTTGTACTCCAGGCGTCCGCAGTCCATGTTCCCTGAGAGGGGCACGTGTCTGTCGCACAGCAGAGTGCAGATCCGTTCTGCAGCGCGTAGCGAGAGGCGTGCTGTCAACTTGAGCAAGCAGCTCAGAAGCCTTCGGCCCTCCCTCGCGCTGACATGCTTCGCTACACGTCGCAACAGTTCCGCCTCAAGAATGCTTTGGTCTACCGTGTCGATTTCCTGACAGAGGATGACGAGAACGCGGATTCTAGCCTAATGGTGGGCGTGCCAACTCTGAGATCGAGTACATCGTGCAACCCATGCACGGGCCCACTGCGCAAGCACAGGAGCGGCGCCTTTTTCTCGCTCCCCAGCGCCCTAAGTAGTGCCCAGCTTTTGGAGCGAAGGCGCCTGACTTGATGCGCCGATGTAAAGAGTGACAACCCTCCCGCAGCGCGGCGCCGCCGCAGGCAGGAACGGGACTTCGCGTGTCGGCGGGTGTGAGCCAACACGTTTACGTGGCTCACAATCACGTTAACCTTACAGACACACCCGCCGCGAAAAGCTTCACTGTGCTGGTAGACCAGGCATCGAGGTACATCGCAACCAGTGCAGTCGTTCCCACTCAGCGCACGATGCGGCTGTTGCACTGACGCTCTTTGGTTCGGTGGAGTTCAAGCGCAAGATTGTCGCGGACAATGTGCGCGCGCAAGTCTGCACGCATGCGCCATCCTCTCCCCGAAATCCATCCACGAATATCGCTGAGACGGTTGTCAAAAAGGTGAAGCATGGCCCACGGGTCTGCATGGCGTATCTACGCTTTACGGCGCTATTGCAGGAAGGCGGCTGGTCTCGACTGTTTGATGTGGTCATGCATGCATTGAATCCCACCCAGTCGGAGCCAGCAGGAACACAGTCTGCGACTCTGTCATTTCCCTGCGCGCTTCGCACGCCTGCAGACACTCAGGCTCCCAACGCTCTCTCTCTCGCGCGCAACCCCATCGCGCGAATGCTCCCTCATAGCTGCGGAGCGGAACCTTGTTCCGCGATGCTGCCATGGGCCACCGGGCAGCGCAGCAACGCCACTGGCATGTCCATTTCGATCGGCGGCAGCACATCGTGCGCTCACCCGTCAGGGCAAAGGTTATAAAGGCAAGCGAGGGGGGGGGTAACGTGACCATGTATGCAGCCGTCGCGGCATCGACGCCACCGTCACACGTCCACCGGTATCTTCCCTCTCCCTCTTATCACTGATGGTCGACTATGCTATATACATCTGGATTATTCTCAGACTTCTATGAATCTAGCCATTATCCTACCTTTATACCGCCTCTTGCACCCACCTCTTGGCGTAGTCCACTGTAAGCGCCGAATGATGTAACAGTACACAGCGTTGAGATTTTGGTGAGAACTTGGAACATGGTTCAGGGAGCTTCTACTACTCCGAAGGGTCATCACGGTGATCGCCAGATCACTCATTCCACTCAGCGCACCAGTGCCAAGAGATATGCATCTGGATACCGTACGTCTCGTGTTGATTGGACCAACATCGTCCTGGAAGTCAACATCGGGCCCTGGAGCTTTGAGCAGGCCGTCGTGAACGTGATTGGAACTTGTGAGCCACGAGCGCGAGATACGATGCCGCCGTCACGCTTTCTCGCTCAGGCGTCCAAATGGCGCAACGCCGTTGCGATGCCAGGCAAGCCCAATGAACGGTACGAAGAGCTTGGGTCCGGGTACGTGTCGGGCTCTAATTGTGCTTTCGTCGATGAAGTCAAGGGACAAGGCACACTCGTCAAAGCTGGCCCGTGGCCCTTGGCGCCTCCTGCCACGGATGAGAGCGAGAATCCAACCAAAGCTGCCTCACAGGATCGGTTCGGCTACAAGCCCTCGCTGCTTGTTCGCGGCGCTGCGGCAGGATCGCTCTTGCTTGTCGATCTGACGCAACCTGGTAAGAAGAAAAAACAGGTTCTTTCGATCAATGCTCTCCAGGACACCGCAGCTCTTTCCGATTTTGACATCGCACCGTGGTGGAGCCTTCAATCAGCCTCTGTCCTCGTAGCCGCTGCCAGCAACACCAGCGACCAGGTTCAGATCACTAGAATGCTGCAACCTTTTTCTCAAGATGGAATACGAGCAGATGCTTCCTTGTTGCGGGCTCCTAAGGGGGGAGCGATCGGCGTCTCGAGTCTACAGTGGCATCCAACAGTCCCAGGTTTGCTGCTCGGCTCGCAGGGCTCAACGGTGAACATTTGGCAGACTGCAGAAGACCGTAGCTCTCAGACATTCAGCCTTAAAACGGACTCACAAGGGAGCGCTTTGAGACATGCAGCGTGGAGCTCTGTAGGTATAGGCAGCCAAGTGGGGGGAATGACAGCCGATGGATACTTGGTGCTGTGGGACGCAAGAAGTGGCAATGCAGTCGTCACAAAGGTGGGCTCCCTGACGCGCTCATTCCACCTCGAAACGTGGAAATTGACCGACCTCAATGAATTTACCCTACAGACGCTGGCCCATGCTAGCAAAGTCAAACCGTCACGCCTATGCTTTGTGCGGGACTCGGGCCTGCTCCTCACGTCTGGATTTTCTCAAATGCGACAACGGGAAATCGGTGTTTGGGATCCTCGCTCCCTGACGACACCTTTAAAAAGGTCCATCTTGACGGATTCAACCTCCCCGTCTGTGCTGACACCGGTAGCCGATGATATTCGAAACATTGTCTACCTCATTGGCCGCGGTGACACCGCCGTCAAATGGATCGAGCTAGACGCACAGAATGCGTTCAACGAGGGCTCACACGCTTTGGGCGCGGGTGTCGAGGCTGCCGGACCGGCAGCTCTAGCGCCGCAGACACTTTGCAACGTCATGCAGGCGGAAATCGATAGGCTCTATGTGCCTGTTGCGAAATCTGATGGGATCATACCTGTCAAGATCCACGTTCCAAGGTGGCAGCTGATCGACTATCACGAGAACCTTTTCCCTGACTCCCTAAACTTTGTTACCTCGGGTGTTGAGGAGGAAAGGCAAAAGGCATATGCTTGGGCAGAACGGAAAGATGAAGACATATTACCCTCGCTGATCAGTCGGGATCCTCTCAAGGTTGATATTCAAATCAAGCAGATGCAGAACACGTTCCGGCCATCGACACTGACATCGGCGGCAGTGCCGTCATCGCCCAATGCGCCTGACTATATCATTGATCGCACCTGCGAGCGAGGCCCCGCGCCTCATTCCGAGGCGGGGTCCATTTCAAATACAAACACAGATACTCAGAGCGTGGTGCTGGAGAGCACCAATGGGCCGCCTCCAAGTTCACATGAGAAGCCTCTCGTTCCTGCACTGGCCGCCAACCAAGCGAACGCCACGGAAATTCAGCCATTGCGGACTGTGTCAGCTCATGCTGAAGCCGCAACTCTAACCTCTAGCACATCGTCTAGCAACGCTTCTGAGCTTGCCGCAAGTGCGCCAACGGTCGCGTCGAGCACTGTATCGCATGCAAGCTCCGCGCCTGCTGCGCCGGCCCCACCAGACCAACGTCCACATTGGTCAAGGCGCTTCCTTGCAGGCTCGACTCCTTTGATCCCGGCGCATCAAAATCTCTCAGCCTTTGATACTACGATATCTCCCGACAAACGTGCCTTTGATGTGAACTGTCTCTACCTCTTCTACCCCGTTTCCAGTCCAGGAGGACGCATCGGCTTTCACCCACTCGCAGCTCAAGGGCGCATGCCTCTTAGTCCGCCCTCGATCCGATGCAACTCGAAGTTCATCGACTTTGCACTCGATCCATTCAACCCGCTATGTCTCCTCACGGCTAGCGACGATGGCAAAGTACGAATATGGCAGCTTCCGGCTCCAGAAAGCGTCACCGATGCGCTTGCCGCTAAGGATCAGCCTGCCGCTTGCGCTGCCCTTGACGTCACGGTACCCATGACAACGCTAGAGCTCCCCAGTCAATGCTCCTCAGCAAGAATAGCAGAGATCAAGGCTAGCCCAGTGGCCAATGATGTCATTGGCGCGATTCTTGCCGGCACCGGCAACGAGAGCCGCTTTGTCATTTGGAACGCGCGGACTGAACAGGTAGAGCTCAGCAGCCAAACAGGTGCCAAGGGCAGCTTCGGCTTTTCTTGGAGCCCAGCGGGGAACTACGTTGCTGTTGCGGGCAAAGACAAACAACTACGCGTGTTCGACCCGCGCATGCCATCACAGGGTGGTGAAATCGCGGCTCACGATGGTCCGAGATCGTTCAAAACAATCTGGATTGACGACAAGCATCTCATCACCACTGGGCATGGCCTCGAGTCTCTGCGGCAAATCAAACTGTACGATGTTGAGCCTACCGATGGTGCGGTGTCGGTGAAACTTGTAAAGACGCTACCTCTGGACAACAGCCCTACTGTGCTATTCCCGCACTTCGACCCGGATACGAACATTCTCTGGCTCTGGAGCCGCGGGGATCGCTCGGTCTCAGCGTATGAAGTGTACCCCCACCCGCCTTCTGCCAGCATTGACATGCTCTCCACACTGCCGACATGGCAGGCTGGATCGCCACAGGTGGCGCTCGCGTTCCTTCCAAAACGACACGTGAATGTGAAACAAGTCGAAGTGGCGGTCGCGTACCGAGTGTCGCAAAGGGAGATCCAACGCGTCGGATGGAACTTCTCGCGTGCGCGCGTATGTCTTGCTCTTGTGCGCGCAAACTGACGAACGTGTCGCTGACACGTTTTTAATTCAGCCTGAATTCTTCCAGGATGACATCTTTGTGCCCACGCAAGACGTGGAAGAGCCATTGTGCAGCGCAGACGACTGGATCTCTGGTCGGGTTCAAGTTCCGACTCGGCGTTACCTCAGCTTGCAACCCAAGAACATGACGCCGCGTACGTCGCAATCTTCTTACACTCTAAAGTGATCACTTACTGAATGTTTTGCTAACTTTCGTGCGCATTTGACCCGGCAGTTTCGCTTGCACCTACAAAACACATCGCATCCACACTACCTAAGGGTCCGATTGCGAAAGACCTGTCAGAGGAAGAGCGAAAAGAGCAGCTTCTTAATAACGTGAGTGCGGGCGCCAGCTCTTCTTTCCAGCATTATGCAAGTGCAGTGTATCTGACCAGTCCCTTCATGCTGCAGATCTTCAACAAAGCGAAAGTGGATCCCTCCGAAGACGCTGCGGACGGCCGAGCGGATCGCCCGCAGTTGCACACCGCGGCCAAGCTGGCGCCGGACAACGACGACTGGTCCGATTAGAACAAGATGTATTTCTCCCGCGAACAATTTGACAGCCAGAAAGAAGGAAGGAAAAAAGAGGGGAAGAAGGGATGGCGTTGGGATGAATGGCGTGAAGATGATATCGGAATGGACAGGGATAGTTGTATGATAGTGAGCCGATCGATGAGGTGGGACGAAATCTGATCGGTCACGCATAAGCAATCTGCACGCGGCGGGGATCGCGGAAGGGGTTTGTGTGTGCGTGGGGTATAAGTTGACACATAATGACCGTGCTCTAATCTCTTTTCTTCTGTTCTCTTCGGGGTGAGATGTGTGGTGTCGGTTCTTCTTCAGATTAAACGTGCGAGCATCCTCCGAGGTCGGATGGGGAGGTGGGCGACGCACCTCATTTGGAGTGGGACATCATCCGCGCGTGGCTGCCCCTGGCTCCTGACTTGGGCGTGCACCTGCCTTGTCGCGACAGGCTGAGAGCCGGGGATATTCTAGTCCTCGTGCAACGCAACGATGCTTGCATCCTGGGGGTTGGCAGCCTCGAGCGGCAGCTCGGCGACGGGCGGGGCGCCTTCGAGCGCGATGGGTGCGTGTGCAAGTGCAGCGACAGCATCGCCCTCGGCGACAGGGAGCGCCACCACTGATGCAGTGACTTCTGCTACTCCTCTTGCGTCCGCCAGTCCCTCGCTGCCGGCGACCGAGACGGCTTGCGGCGTCTCGTAGCCGACGGCCTCCGAGTCCGTCGAACGGCAGGTGCCATCGCCGTCCGTCTGCGGGGAAGCAGGAGCAGAAGCAGCAACCGGCACTGCGGTAACGGCAGCTGGGGCCGTGGCGGGCAATATGATCGCTTGTTTCTCCTGCGGCGCAGTCTGCTGGGCTGCTGCCAGTGGTGCGGTTGGCGCAGCGCTTGCAACAGCAGGGGCGACGACGCTTGTTTGTGCTTCGTGGGCCTGTACAGAAGCGACGGCAGCCGCAGCAACCGCGACGCTAGCACCAGCACCAGTGTTGGCGCCGGCGCCGGCGGGATGGCTCCCAGGCTTGGCGGCCTCGGACTCAGCGGCAGCGGCAGCAGCAGCACCATTTGGAACAGGAGAGGCAGCGGCGGTGCTCGGCTGAGCTTCTTTGAGCGTATGATCAAGTGGTGGCTCCGATGCATTTGCCGGTTCTGCTGCTGTTGCATTCACAGGCTCAGGCGTAGCCAACGACGACGACGATTGCGCCTGCTCCGCGTCCTGCTTTTGGGTAGCTGCATACGTAGCAGCGGGCGTTGTCTCCTTCGGGTCGCTCTGCGCCTTGTCCGCTTTCGCAGAAGCGGCATTAGCATCGGCGGCATCATCAGCATCGGCATCAGCGGTAGGAACAGCCTTGCGGCCGGAAAAAGTAGCCATAGCAGCAGCCTTCTTCGATGGCGAAGCCGCCGCCGAGCCTGAAGCGGGTGCGGATACGGACGACTTGCGACCCTTCTTCTCCATGCTCCTGTCCCTGGCAGCGTCCTCGTCTGGATCGGTGAGCCTGTCCTTCTTGCGCCCAAAACCAAACAGCCCAAAGCTGGTCTTACGGATGGACATGGCGCGCACCGAGCCCGCTTTGCTCGGCGCGCCAGTAGCAGCGGCAGCGACGGGTGTGGAGCCTGAGAGCGGCGCGCTGGCAACGGCGTTCTTGACTTCTTGGAGCGGCGTTGTTGTCTTGACAGTCGTGTGGATCGGCGCGCTGCTGGTCGTATGTGCCGCGGCGACGCCGTTTCCATCGCTGCCGGCCGTCTTGTCTTTGGCCGCTGATGCACCTGCCGCACCACCGGCCACGGCGGCTGCTGCGGTGGCAGCAGGCTCCTTGTTGCTCTTCAGCTCGGCACCCTCAGTCTTCTGATTCTTTTTCTCATCAACCTTTGCATCGCTGCTGCTCGTCTCTACGACAGGCTTGCTGGAGGCAGGCACAGGCGCGGCAACGGAGCTGCTGCCAGTCTTGCCTGGGGAGGACTTGGCCGCAGTAACGCTGAGGTGCGTGCCGTTCGCGTTTGCCTGGCTGTTCTCGCGCACAGCGGCGCTGCTGCTGCTGCTGCTGGTGGTTCCTAACGCGGCGACAGCGGGCGCACGACGCGTGGTGCCATTCGGCAGCAAAGCCGATGGCTTAGGTTCCTTACCAGCGCTGGCACTGCTGAAATCGAGGCCGATACTACCGACACCAGCGGCAGAGGCATCTGTGCTACTGCCGACGACGGCGCCGGGGAGGAGGGTGGGCGAGAAGCCACTGAGGAGCTTCTGCTTTCTGCGGTGACTCGCCTCGAGGTCGTCAAGGTCCATGAGCAGGTCCGAGATGCCGCTACCTGGTGTGCTGCCGCTGCCGCTGCCACCGCCGCCAGCAGCGTTGCTGCCGCTTGCCGCACCTGCGACTGATCCGGCGGTCTCGCTGCTAAGGGGCCCGCCGCCGAAGGAGATGTTCTGTAAGTCTTTGGAAGAGGTCAGCATTGGCGTGCTGTGTTCCTCCTGCGCCGGCTCGGTAGAGAAGCTGGGGATCCATGTCCGCCGCCTGCAGGGAATGGGGAGGAAAACGACCGTCCTGTGTCAGCGCTGTCCAGGAAGAACGATCTTTCATGCATGGGAAGGGAGAGAGTGGCAGAGGAACGCACGCCTTGAGGAAGCTCTGGAGCTGCTCGCTATTGTCGGGCGTGTTGGCGCTCGGGCTGCCAGTCAGGCTGATGGCCTCCCAGTCGACGCCTTTACCTGCAAAGAGCTCCGAGGGCCTGGGCTTGTTGTCCGTGGCATTGACGGCGATGGAGGCAATAGTCAGGGTCGAGGGCATGGTTGTAGTGTCACCCTGCGCTTGCACTTGTGCAGCGGCCGAGGAGTGGGAAGAGAAGGAGGAGGAGGAGGAGGCGATGGCTGCCTTGGCGTGCGCGCTGCCCCGGCCTTGCTTGCTGGACTGGCTGCCGAATTTTTTCAGTGGGTGGGAGCTATCCTTGGGCTTGAGCTCGCCTGCGGTCGCCCGCGAGTAGGACGATGCGGTTCCAGCACCGGCGCCATTGATAAACTTGGGCGATTCGCCGAGGACATCGGAAGCGTTGCGGTTTCTTTCCGCTGCAGCGGTGGGAGCCTTGTCGCCGGCGCTCTCGGCGATGGACTCAGTGCGCTTCTTGTTGGTTCGAGAGAAGAGGCCCATCGTGTCTGCCTGGCGCTTGCTTCTTCTTGCGGGGTGTGCTGGGGCGAGCTGGGGCTGGTGCTGCCCTGGCTTGCTTTCGCTTTGCTGCAGAGAGAGGACCAACGAGAGTCCGGGGTTCAAACAGGGAACAAGCGATGCGCGGCGAGGGAAGGCGGTGGAGGGTTAAACGGCGTCGCGCCGCAGAGTGAGCTCGGCAGGTGGTGAGGTTAGGTGGTCGAGCGGATGATGATGATCTGCTGAGGAAGTGGCGATGCGCGCGCCAGCCCAGCTGAGCCCAGTGTCGCCAGTAACAGTGGCAGTGCCCGCGACTGGATTCGTTCACTTCTCAACGACGCGGTGCGCTGCAGGCAAGCCGCGTTTTCGCTGCTTCACTCGAATGTACGGGCGTAGTGCCTGCCTGCCTCCCTTGGCTGGCATGGCCACTGGCCGTGCAGCGCGCGAGTGGGCAGCACTGCGACTGAACTCCACTTCATTAGAGCATGCAAGCATCAGCCCACGCTATCCCATTGCAGCACTCTTTTGCTGCCTGTGCGCAGCTTGCAGCCGGCAGCTGCACAGAGGGAGCTTTTCGCCACCCATTCCCACACCAGCCAGCACTACAGCGCAAATACAGTCAACCCAATAGTTGATGGCTGGGGATTAGGGTTATGCACACGGATCACAGCAGAGGCGCTTAGAGTGCTGCAGTGCAAAAGACACAAGTGACGCCTCGCCTGGACGGCCGTGCACGGTCCTCCGCGATTCGAGGGAAAAGCCCACCAAGGCAAAGAGGGCGAGAGACGGAGAAAGCGGCGCAGAACAAAGCAATGAAGCATGATCGTTCGCCGAGAGAAACATGCATACATACATACACACACGGGCCCCGCGCGAGACAGACTGGACCTGGATCCAGGGTCGAATTTCAATGACGACGAACGCGCACGGAGAGGATGCACCCCGCGCGCGCGCTCGCTGACCCCCTCTCACTCTTTTCTTCTCCAAATTGACGAAATACTAGCAGCGCGCTCGCTGCTGCTTCAGGCAGAGTACGTGCTGGCAGACACGTTGCCGCCTCGGCCCGTCCAGTTGATGTGGATATCCTGGCCCGCCGGCAGCTTGGCGTTCTCCTTGCCCGGCAGGACGCGGAAGGTGTGTGCACTGTGAGCGGATGGCAGGGGCAACCCCGAGTCAGTCAGTCAATTGATCACGCACAGACAGACATCTGTTCCGCCGCCGTCTGTGCTCACCCAAAGTAGTCGCGCTGCGCCTGCAACAGGTTCGCCGGCACGCGCTCGGTCCTGTAGCCGTCAAAGAACGCAAGCGCTGTCGAAAAGGCAGGTGTTGGGATGCCCCAAAGCATTGCTTGCGCGACGACGCGGCGCCAGCCGTCCTGCGCGGCGTGGATCGCCTTGTTGAAAAAGTCGTCGAATAGCAGGTTCTCCAGCTGCGGGTCCTTGCGGAACGCGTTTGTGATGTCCTTGAGGAAAACCGAGCGGATGATGCAGCCACCGCGCCACATCAGCGCGATCGACGGGTTGTTCAGCGTCCAGTTGTACTCCTTGGCCGCCTCGCGCATCAGCATAAAGCCCTGCGCGTACGACACAATCTTGGACGCGTACAGCGCCTGCTCCAAGTCCTTGACAAACTGAGTCTTGTCGCCCTCGAAGGGCTTGATTTGCGGGCCGCTCAGGATCTTCGACGCGCGCGTGCGCTCCGCCTTGAGCGACGACAGGCAGCGCGCAAACACTGCCTCGCCGATCAGCGTAACTGGCTGGCCGAGGTCCAGCGCAGAGATCGCCGTCCACTTGCCCGTCCCTTTTTGGCCGGCAGAGTCTGCGAGGCAGAGATGTCGTGTACGATAAGTAGGAGTTACGTCAGCAACTACTGCACACACACACACGGAGCACAGCACAAGAGGCGACACAACGCACCTAGGATCTTCTCGAGCATCGGCTCTCCATCGTCGTCCTTGTAGCGCAGAATATCGCGCGTGATCTCGATCAAGAAGGAGTCAAGGACGCCCTTGTTCCACTGATCAAACACGTCGGCAATCTCGTCGTTGGAAAAGCCAACGCCTCGCTTAAGGATGTCATAGGCCTCGCAGATAAGCTGCATGTCGCCGTACTCAATGCCGTTGTGCACCATCTTGACGTAGTGCCCCGAGCCGGTCTGGCCGACCCAGTCGCAGCATGGCTCGCCGTCCGACTGCGCGGCGGTCTTCTGGAAGATCTCCTTGATATGCGGCCAGGCGGCATCCGAGCCACCGGGCATCAATGACGGGCCATGGCGGGCACCTTCCTCGCCACCTGAGACACCCGAGCCGACGAAGAGCAGGCCCTTCTTCTCGAGCTCGGCCGTGCGGCGGATCGAGTCGGGGTAGTGCGAGTTGCCGCCGTCGATAATGATGTCGCCCTTCTCGAGGTGAGGCACGAGCTGGTCGATGAATGCATCGACAGCAGAACCGGCCTTAACGAGGAGAATGATCTTGCGCGGACGCTTCAACTTGGCAACGAACTCCTCGATCGACTTGGCGCCGACGACGTTGGTGCCTGCACAGCGTCGCAAGACAGGGTGTGCAAGGTAAGCTCACGTTCCAGTGGGAGCGATCCTGCCAATGTAAACAGAACTCACCCTTGGCCTCGTTGTTGAGGAAGTCGTCAACCTTGGAGACAGTCCGGTTGTAGGCGCAGACAGTGAAGCCTTTGTCTGTTTCGGCAAGGGCCCGAGCGGGGTGATTTCAGCATTCAAAAGCACCAAAACATACTATGGAGACAGCATCCACCAACCGTTCATGTTCAGAATCAAGTTCTGGCCCCTGTGGTGACAATCGAATGTCAATTAGCGATTCCGGCCACTCTCTGGACTGCAACTCACATGACGGCCAGGCCGATGAGGCCAATGTCCGCACTGCATGGCGTTTCAAAAAGACATTGCAATTGCAAAGAAGCGGTGTAGCGCAGAAAGAGTGGCAATCGGAAAGGCCAATGGTCAGCGTCGATATTGCTCCAGGGATCACAGCACGTTCTTCTGATCTGTTCGCGCATCTGTCGCAGCCTGGGGACAAACACAAGCCCGTATCTGCTCGCCTTTCCCTGCAACAGATTCTTCTGTGCAATTTCTCGTGCTCCGTATAAGCGCGCACTCACACTGCCTGAGACATCTTTGCAGCGGTCCGACGGGAAGATGTGGAAAGGAGGTGGGAAGCGATGGAAGAGACCCGGGCGAGAATCTTGGCGTTGTGCTGGGGGAGGAGAAAGGAAAGAGCAAAGAAGGACGATGCGTCACTTGCTCGATTGTGGTGCTTCTTGTACGATGTTTCTTTGGAGGCGATTTACAATTGGCAAGCAAGCTTTGGAGCCAGATGGGGTGAGGAGGGAAGAAGGAGAAGATCAAGGACTAGATGAAGGTGTGGATGCTGTAGCCGAAAGATAGAAAGCCGAGCGGAGGTTCTGAGGGAAGCGAGCACCTCCCCCCAAAGCAGAGGGATCGGCGGGGCAGCAGCCGACACTCCGTAATGTGATGTGATGGGAGTTTCGATTGGGAGAGAAGTGTGTGGGCACGGGCCACGGTGACTGGGCAGACCACACACGCAAGACTCACACACACCAGCAGCCAACACCCACCCCAGTCTTCCAACAATGAAGAATGTGACGCAAACCGGTGCGCGCCCACACGGGGTGGGGGGAGGATGGGGAGGGTGACGGATTTGCCAGCGCATTCATCCATTTTGCGCACTGGCCAGCCCTCTTGTCCCCTGTGCGCGGAGTTGTGCTCCTCCATTCCGCTCGCCATGCCTTCATTTCTTATGCCCACCGCTGGAGATCAAAAACGGGCTACTTGATCGGGTTTACACAAAACTACAAGTCACGTGTGGCATACCAGCGCGAACGCGTCTGTACGACCAGCGGAATAAACACATGACGCGACCCATCATCCTCAGCATCGTCTGTCCATTCACATTCACCATCAGCTTTGCATATGCATTCAGCTGGTCAAGCGAAATCACTTGCTCGTCGATCGTGCAGGGAACTCTGCAACCATCCCACGCGGTCTTGTACGTCCTTCCTGTCTGCCGCCCAGCATGCTTTCGACAGAAGCGAGAACAGCTGGGAGAGCCCGCTCCAAGGCACAACAGCAGCAGCAGCAGCGCAACAGGGCCACTAGCCCCAGCTCGTCTCCGGAGCCCGACGACGCGCAGAAGCATCTTACCGCGCTTCCCTCGGCCATCGCGCAGATATTTTCAGCCTCGCAGCACTCGCTGGCCGTGCACCGCAAGCACGTCGTCGCGCTTTTCAACCAGCACGCCTCGGTGGCCCGCTTGATGCAGGAGACGCCGAGGGGCACCAAGCTCGTCGGCGAAAAGGCGTTCAACGACGCTTTCATCCCTTGTGTCAACCGTGTGCTCTCCGTCAAGAAGGGCGAGACCGTTGCAGACCGCTGCCTTAAGTTCATCTCAGCGTATGCCCATTATGCACAGATGGCTTTCCGCAGGCAAGCGCGCGAAGAGGCGGGTACCGCTGGTGATGATGAAGACGAGGACGACGAAGATGATACGACGGCGACTCGTTTCGTCGAGATCCTCCTCAAGCATTGTCTGCGTGGATTCGGAGCAAAGAATAAGAATGTTCGCCTGAGGTGCTGCCAGCTAGTAGCACTCCTCGTCAACAACCTCGAGAGCTTGAGGTGAGTTCCGCTTCCCCAAGCCTGCGCTGCACGCTGGACCCCTGATCGATATACTCGCCCTCAGCGACGACCTATTCGAGACTCTCAAGTCATTTTTACTCGAACGTGTGAACGACAAGGAGAGCTCCGTGCGCGTGCAGGCCATTGTCGCCATCGCTAAATTGCAGCAGGCCTCTGGCGACGACGTCGAACAGGGCGAGGAGGATGAGGTGCAGGACATGCTCGTGTGGATGCTGCGCCACGATCCCAGCGCGTGAGTTCGAGTGCTTTCACGTCCCTTCACCTCCCACAGTCGTTTCTGATCCTTCCCTCGAATGCTCGCAGAGAGGTTCGAAGAGCAGCGTTGTTCAACCTCTCGCTGACTTCCACTACCTTCCCGCACATCCTCGAGCGCCTGCGTGACGTCGATGCGATCAACCGGCGCTGCGTCTTCCTCGGCTCGCTCGCCATGCTCCCCGCCCTACTACCCTCGGCCGCCCAAGTGCAGCAAGCCTCCACCAGTTCTCAGCTGCTGAGCCCAAAGACAACGAGCGAGGCGATCGGTGTCGGTCTACGCGACCGCGAGGAAAGCGTGCGCCGTGCGACCAAAAAGCTCATGGGCACCTGGATCGACGCATGCAACGGCGACCTAGAGGATTTCCTGAGGCGCTTCGACCTGCTCTCGCCCAGCGGGTCCGGCATGGAGGTGGCACAGCAGGCTCTCGCGACCATGTTCGACGCCAAACCCGCGCTGGCGGACCATGTCGTGCTGGTGGACGACGCGTTCTGGAACGACCTGACGCCCGCAAAAGCCCTGCTTGCTAAAGTCCTGCTCGATCATTGGCGCGACAAGACGCGCGAGCTGAACAGGTGGGAGAACGCCATGCCGCCCGTCACCGCGCTCGCTTTCCGTGTGCAGAAGCACTTCAATGACATGATAGCTGCGAGCGAGCAGCAGCAGCAGAAGCGACAAGACCAAGAAGGAGACGAGTACGCAAAGCAGGAGCGCATCGTTCTGCTTCTACTGCAGATCGCACTACACGCAGACTACGCAGATGAGATTGGCCGCCGCAAAATGTTTGGTCTGCTGCGCGAGATGATGTCGACTCACGCGCACGCCTCGTTGCTTTCTGATGACCTCACCGCCGCGTGCCTGGACTTGCTGCTCAAGCTGAGCAACGGGCAGCGCGACTTTATGCGCATCGTCGTGGAAATCACGCAACAGCTTGAAGACGATGACTTCAGCCAAGACGAAGACGAGTGTGTCGAAGCAAGCCAAGATCTCGTCGCAGCACCTGATGAGACGACGCTGCCGGTGACGTCCAATTGCCGAATGAGTGGCAGCAAGAAACGGCCAAGCAAAACCGGCGTATCAGAGGAAGAGCTCGTCGAGCGCAATGCACGACGTCTGACCATCGTGCGCGGCATGCTCGAACGCGTCGGTGGCGCATTGCAAGAAAATACCGCCTTCCATGGCCTGATCCCGCAGCTGATTGCACCGGCCGTCCGCTCCAAGGACGCGTGGGTTCGCGAGCAAGGTCTGACTTGCCTGGGCCTCAGCTGCCTGCTTGACAAGAAGCTTGCGCTTGAGACGTTCCCGCTCTTTCTCGACCAGGTGCAGCGCGGCGCTGACGGCGTCAAGCTGTGTGCAGTACAGCTGGTTTTTGATTTGATCATCGCGCACGGCATCCCGTACCTTGCCAGCCGCACCGTCGGCTCGCGCGAGGAGCTCGGCGACGACGAGTACGCCGTCAAGGCCAAGGAGGCGCTCGGCCAGATCATGTCCTTTCTGCTCTCGCTTCTCGAAGACGACGATGAGGCGGTCCAGGCATCTGCCGCGCTCGGCATCGCCAAGTTAATGCTCGCGGGGATCGTCGACGATGCGGACGATGTGCTGAAGAGCATGGTGCTCGTGTATATGAGCCCCGAGACTGCTGACAATCAGGAGCTGCGACAGTGCCTGAGCTACTTCCTACCTGCGTATTGCTACTCATCGCCTATTAACCAGCGGCGCCTGCAGCGCGTCTGGCTGGACACGCTCACCGTGTTAAGCGATGTGTATACGGACAAGGACGCTGAGCAGGAGATGGTCGCGCCACAGCAGATTGCGCTGCAGCTCATCGACTGGATGGACGCGGGAAAAGCCATCTACCCCGGGACCAAGGACAGCAGCATCAACGCTGATGTGCTGGTTGACATTCTTAAGGAGCTCGTCCGCGACCAGCGCGATGAGCGAAAGATGTTCGCGCAGCTCCTCGGCAAGGTCACCCTACCCGACGAGCTGCACGAGGCCAAGGTAAATACCGTGCTCCTCCTCTGCGGCGTCCTGGCGGGGCTCGATCCGTTCGACTCGACCGTCGCGGCGAACGCATTCGCACGATTCCATGCAGCAGTCGAGAAACAGTACGCGGATGCCGCCGAGGCGCTCGATGCTCGCCATTGCTTGCGCGCAGCAGCGGATGGAGGCGCTGCGCAGGAGCCGGCGTACATCGATCTGCAGGAATTCTTCGCCAAACTGAACATCGATGCGATCAAGCTGCTCTCTGCGCCGACCACATCCAAAGCTGCTGCTTCTGCCAAGCGAGCTGCGCCACGCGCAAGGGCCAAGACTGCAGCAGCCTCTTCGAAGAGTGCAGTAGGAACCCGAAGGTAAGTCTGCAAGCCACGCAGGCGGCCACACAGTCGGAAACTAATGATTCCCACTCTCGCCTGTCCAGCCGCCGCAGAGGTGCAGCAGCGGAGGACGAAGGCGATGAGACGCAAGATGATGAGGCCAGCAGCGCTGCGCTGCAGGACGAGGAGAACGACGAGGCGGACGAGGAAGAGGAAGCACAAGACGACTTTGATGACTTATGAAACGGCATGTAGATATCCTTCGTGGGCTTGAACTGGCTCAGAACCTTGGATCACGATACTCTTCTGTGTCTCTCTAATCCATGTTAACGTGGGAAGCGAGAATAAGAGTATGCTACATCGGCTGTGCGTGCGCTCGAAAGGCGCAATGGACTTTTTTTCTCGCGCCGAGGTGGTCTCGTTCGGCGGCATGTGACATATCTTGCACTTTGCAACGATCCGGCTGGCCCACCCCTAGTCGTCTTCCCCTGCATCCTCGACCTTAGCCGCCTTGCTACCAGGACTAGGCGGCAACAGCGACCCCTCTGCCTGCTGCTGCTGCGCGGCGAGCGCCTGAGCCTGCATCTGCGCCTGCTGGACCATAGCCAACAACGGGGGCGGGAGCTGGCCACCATTGGCCTGTGCAATGGCGGGCAGCATCTGCGGTGTGATCTGACCTCCATTTGCCTGAATCGCCGCTGCGATCTGCGGCGGGAGCTGCATCTTAATCTGCTGCTGCCCAGTCCCTGTTGGAGTACCTGCGTCTGCGGCTCCGGCCGGTGGTAGGGGTTGTGCGCCAGATAAGACGGCGCCAGGTGGCAATGGGGAGGGCGCACCATTCGCTTGCTGCGGGGCTTGCACTTGGATGGTCGTTCCTGGGGGTGTAACAAGCGGAGGGAGCTCAACCGTGGGTTTCGGTACAGGCTTGCCTTCCTTTTGTAGCTTGCGAACTGTCATGGAACGGAATGTGTCAATGAGCCCGCGGGAAAGGAAGCGAAATCGCGATTGATGGGTCGACTCACTTTCCGTCTCGCGTTGGTCCTTGATGCCATAATAGATCTCTTTGTGTTTGAGATGTGCGACCATCTCGCTGGCCGAGGGAAAGATGATTTGGCCCCATCCCTCCTTAAAAGTATTTGCCTCCGAAACGACATCCAATATTTCCGCTTCGAGCTCCTTCTCGGCGAGCTGGAAGCGCTCCATCGTCTCATCACCTAGCGAGCCCTTCTGCAAGAGCTGCTGCAGCGCTTGCTTGTCGTCTCGCATTCGCATGATACGCCGCACATCTGCCATGGCACGGTTGAGCAGCGCAGCCTTCAAGACGTGGTCTGGGATCATCGGTGGCTGTGGGCCTCGGCTGCTACTGCCGCCCTGGGTGCCGTTGGTCTCGTCCGGCACGGCATTTTGGGCTGCCGCTGAGACGAGCGATTGGTAGATGTCCCGCTCCGGGTGGCCGTCGGGGAACCAGGGCTGGCTTCCGACGTCGCATACGACTCGCTGTGCTGATCGGCGTCGATAGATGCGAGAGAACGTGGAGAGGGAGACGAGCAGGAATACGATGTACCCGATGGGCACATAGATTGGGAGCGCCATGATGCCAGCGGAGTTGCAGCTTCCTGAAGCCTCTCGGAGTAGGGGCTGGCTGCCTAGGAGAGGAGCAGTGCTGTTTGCGCAAAAGATGTTCCTTCCATGAGATAGTTAAGGAGGCCAAGAAGAAAGGTTGAGGTGTGTGTAATAAGGTGGAGGATGTTGCTGTATGTCAAGACATGAATCGCGGCCAGGCACCACCTCACACACACCACAGCTCGCTACTGATATGCCGCTCGCGCTCCACACGGCCAGCAGGCAGGCAGGCAGCTTTCGCGCCTCTGCGTCCTGACATACTACACCCACTTTTCCTCAATCAAACCCCTCCTTCAAACAACACAATATGCATTCGTCATGAGCTTCTAGGTCAACCAATTCAAACCAAAGATATCTATTGCACGGCAGCCAAAATGATTTTAATCCGCAGGACGATAGATTTCGTGCATCCTGACGTGCTGGAGGCAGTCAAGCCCGGCTGTCGAGCGAAGGCGCCTTTTTGCGCTGTCGCCCTCCTCGGCCGCTGCGCCATTTAGTGCGACCGCGACGACGACAGGTGAGGCACTCTGCATGGGCGCCAGACGAGAGTACCTTTGCTGGGACGATTGGGGCATTCTTGAATTCCAGGGAATGATTTGCGAAGGAAGCTGGTTGTGCAGCAGTTCGTGTGAGCGCTGCTCAAAAATTCTCAGGAAAACTACCTGTGATGTGCAGACCCTAGACCGTCAATGGAAAGCCTCTGACTGCGGGAGTTGCCATGGCCCCTTGACCGACTAGCTTTTACAGCAAGCACGCAGTGTGAAGCGAGCGGGTGTGTTGAGATCATGACCGAGACCCCCGAGCTTCTCGGTTTCGTGCGTCGCGATGGATCAGCGCAAACAGCTCCAGCAAGGGCGAAATGGCAGCGGCGACGATGACGACGCCATTGTTAGCGCAATGAGTGAACCCTCCTCGTGAGTACATAATGGCTGTATCCTCTCCAGTTTCATATCTACCGAGCGAGTTGATGGATGGTCCTCTGTTGCGTCGAGTGCAGGGTGAGTGTCAAAGCGATGCGTACGCATGGATGTACACCTGAATGTATGACTGCCACGCGTGATCACTGCGCGCGCGCCCACAAGCACACTCGCACAGTGCCGTAGTGAGATGTTGAGTGTGTGCCGCGTGTCGCACACTGCGGCGTGGTGCTGCAATCTCGTCACTAGGTACATCGGAGCAATGTACACGCACCCATGGCTGGGACTCAAGCTCCCCCAGAGAAGGCAAGAGGCTTTGGACTCTGTAGGACCGTATCTTCGTCTGCAACTCTCTACTCGACGTGTTCAGTGTGGTCTGTGGTCTATGGTCTGCGGTCTGCATCCTGTGTGGGTAATGTGCTCTGTAGTCTGCCTGTAGGCGCTGTCGTTTTGTTGCGCTGTGACGGGCATCACGCAAGCTCTGACCGCGAGGAGGACAGAGAGAGCTCGCGCGCGGGCGCAACTTCAACTCGCAGCATCGCTCCAGTGGTGAAAGTAAGATGATGCTGGCAGGGAGTGCGACACTCTCCCAGCTGCACAGCACGCACAGCACCGCACACAGTGCCCACACGCCGCAGACTTACCCACACCACACGCCCTCCCCACTAGTCGGCATGCACATACTCCTCTACTTGCTGTTTCTGACCCTCGCCTCGCCTCGCCCACCGAGATGTATACTGGACAGCAGTATCGACCATCCCCTACAAGCAACCAGCTCGCCCACGCTCGCCTGACATCGACGTGTGCGAGCACCACCCCCTCCTTTGTTCCATCGCTTTCTCGGACCACGGCTCTCTTGCGGGCCTCTGTCGGAACCCCATAGGCGACGGGATCGGCGCGCGACCGACCGCATTCGATGACAGCAGCATCGCCCATCGCCCATCTCTTTATCCTCACGCTCAGCTCGCAGGCTCTGGGCATTGAGCACGGGTCGTAGGGTCATACCCGTTCCGGTTGCTGAACCACGCGGCAGAGCTAGCTCGCTCGCTTGCAGCAAGATCTTGGCCTATCAGCCAGACCGACATCCGCAAAAGGAGACTGACGAAAGGTTAACATTTCCGGTGTCACGATGAAGGGCTGGAAAAAGGCGATGGTGAGTCAAACGCGACGCGAATCTCGCACCCACCCCTTTCCAACTGCTTGCACGTAGTTGCCTTTGCTGACCGAACGAAATACCGCGTATGTACCCATCGCCGCTGTATCTCTCAGAATCTCTCCCGTTCCAAATCGAGCGATTCGAGCACATCGAACGCTTCCGAGGGCAGCGGCTCCGTGCGTTCCACCAAGAGCGGTACCTCGTCCGCCGGCGGTATAGCAGGCAGTGGACCCATACCGGTACCCCCACCCAAAGGCGGCAGCGTCCCAGCCAACTCGATCTTCACCGGGTCCTTTAACGGCGGCGGCGGTAAGAACGGCAGCATGAATAGCGCCGGTGGTGCTGGCGGTGGCAGCAACGGCGGCGCGGGCGGGAGCGGGTCCTTTGGTCGCAACAGCGGCCGGGCAGCCGGCAGCAACGGCTTGGCGGGCCAGCAGGGACCAGGCGCAGGCGCGACCTCGATGGGCGGGGCAGCAGCCGTACCCGGCAGTGCAGGTGACAAGGGCGGGCCTGCCCCGCCGGTCGTCGTCGTCTCGAGCGAGCTACCCTCAACCTCGGTCGTGCACATGCAGCACCCGCCCATCGGCATCCCTGGCGCCGGGACTCTGTCAGTATCATCCGCTGCGTCCCCCGCGATACAGGGCCTCTCAGGCGTTGCCGCGTCTGCGGCCGCGCAGCTGCATACAGGCACCTCGGGCCTGATGAGCACTGAAGGCGCGCCCATATCCAGCATGCCACCTGGCAAACTCAGTGGTGCTGGCAGTGCGGCAGGCGCAGGGAGCATAGCTGGCAGCCTCGGCGGTGCGTCGGGCCGTCTCAGCGCGACAGGCCGCACGGGCCTCGGCGGTGCGCCCGCCGCGGGCAGCGGACCCGTCGGGCCGCAGGTGGGCCAGGGTACGCCGAAGGACATGGTGCTACCCGCGGCGGGCAAGACGCCTCCGCGCAAGCAGCGCAGCTCGCGCTTCCACGTCACAGAGAAGGTTGAGCTGGAGAAGTTGCCCAACTTCAATGAGGTTGTCCCCGCCGACCGCCAGGAGCTGTTCGTGCGCAAGCTCCGCCAGTCCGCCGTCGTCTTTGACTTCAACGACGCCAGCCAGGACCTCAAGGGCAAACAGGTCAAGGCGCAGACGCTCCACGAGATGCTCGATTATATTACCTCTAACAGAGGCGTTATCACCGAGGCGCTCTATCCAGAGGTCGTCAACATGGTGAGGTTATCTAGGGGCCAGGCCAGGCCAAGCGCGATGAAAAGAGAGGCTTTGCTTGGCATGCATGCAGGGAGCTGACACACGCACGCATCCTCGCCCCCTTTCCCCCTCGCTCTGCTTTTCTCTGCTCCATACAGTTTGGCGCCAACCTATTCCGGACGATCCCACCGCAGGTGAACCCATCCGGCGACGCATTCGACCCGGAGGAGGACGAGCCGGTGCTCGAGCTGGCCTGGCCGCATCTACAGATTGTCTACGAATTCTTCCTGCGCTTTGTCGAGTCGCCAGATTTTGCGACGAACATTGCGAAAAAGTACATCGACCAGCACTTTGTCCTGCAGCTGCTCGAGCTCTTCGACTCGGAGGACCCACGCGAGCGGGATTTCCTCAAGACCACGCTGCACCGCATCTACGGAAAGTTCCTCAACCTGCGCGCGTTCATCCGCCGCTCTATCAACAACGTCTTCTTCCAGTTCATCTACGAGACCGAGCGGCACAATGGCATCGCAGAACTGCTAGAGATCCTCGGATCGATCATCAACGGATTCGCACTTCCGCTAAAGGAGGAGCACAAGACCTTCCTCACGCGCGTACTCATCCCGTTGCACAAGGTCAAGAGCCTCGCATTGTACCACCCGCAGCTGGCCTACTGCGTCGTGCAGTTCCTCGAGAAGGACAGCTCGCTGACCGAGGAGGTCCTCCTCGGCTTGCTGCGCTACTGGCCCAAGGTCAACTCGCCCAAAGAGGTCATGTTCCTCAACGAGGTTGAGGAGATCCTCGACGTCATCGAGCCATCCGAATTCGTCAAGATCGAGGTGCCCTTGTTCCAACAGCTGCAGCGCTGCATCAACTCGCAGCACTTCCAAGTCGCCGAGCGCGCACTCTACTTTTGGAACAACGAGTACATTGTCAACCTCATGGGCGACAACGTGCAAGTCATCCTCCCTATTGTGTTTTCTGCGCTCTACCAGAACTCCAAGAGTCACTGGAACCGCACAATCCACGGCTTGGTGTACAACGCACTCAAGCTGTTCATGGAGATCAATCCGACCCTCTTTGACATGTGCACAAACGAGTTTAAGGAGCAGAGGCAAAAGTAAGTGGTGCAGCGAGCATATCGATCTGAGCTGCGCGCACATGCTGATTCCCCATCTGCTTCCCCAGTGAGCGGCAAAAGCTGAGACAGCGGGACGAGATGTGGAAGAAGCTGCGCGAGTCAGCGATGCGCAACAGCAAATCGATGAGCGTGCCAGTGCCTAAGACACTGCTCGAGGACGAGCGAAATCCACCCACGCGCGCCCCGTCGGACACTGACTCTATCGACTCGGCCGCCGACCTTTCCGGCATCGGGGCGATGGGCCTTAACAGCCACAACGGTGGCGGCGGCGGCGAATCAGAGGGGGAGGATTTCGATCCAGAGTTGGACCTGCAGCACCAGCAGGGCGGCGGACCCAACGCAAGGCAGCTCGGGCATCAGAGCAATGGCGAGATCTCCGTCACAGAGTACGACGACGCGCCGCTGCATGACGGGCCGGACAACGGTGATTACCAGGAGACTGTGAGTTGCGGTATTGCCCGTTCGGGAAAGATCTACAAGCGAGCAGGGAGCTGATCCTCTTTGTGATGCATTTTCTTTACAGCAGCACCAGTTTGGCGACTCGGCACGAAGATCAGTCGCGAGCGTAAGCGCGAAAGACTCGGATCACGTCCGGCGCAAGAGCGTGATCCCTATGGATCCCACCGTAATGAAGGAACTGGCAGGGCACAAGAGCATCGATGGGAGGTGAGTCACGTCCTTGGCCTTGGTCTTGCTTGCGGTATTCGCAGTGATATTGACTCGTGTGTCAACCCTTTACCTAGCCTCATTCCGCGACAAACAGAGTAACGCCCGCCGTCTGGATGCCTGGCTGTCTCCCATATCCTTCGTGGAAAAGGGGGGAGGGGTGTCTGGCTCGCGTGTGCCTCGTGCAAACTGACATGCTCCTACGCTCGAAGCTCCGCACCGCATCGTACTGCGCTTCACGCCCATGCCACAGGGCGCAGCCGCAAATTCGAACTACACATTTCGTTCGTTTCTGTACTACAACATACATTCTTGGTTTTGAATTGCAAATGATCATATGGGGAATCGGTTGCTGTGTATCGCTTGCTTGGCAGGTACCCATGCGCTGTCATGCATGTCAATTGGGCCGTCTTGCTTTGATACATGCCGAAATGCAATGCCTCGGTGTCTATTTGTTGTTGGTGGTGCAGGTGCTGTTGCTGTTCCGAGTGGTAAGGAAGCGCCAAAGCGCGTCGGGATCGCGATACTCGTGATGGACGACGGTGATGAGCCACCGCTGCTCGCCAATTTCATGCAGCAGCTGCTTGGTGGCCGACTGAGGCGGGAAGAGGAGCTCCCACTCTGCCCAGATCGCGAACGCCTCTTGGCACCATGCCTTGAACGAATCCTCTTCGATGATAGTGGGCTGTACGATCTCCCGGCCGGGGAAGACGGCCCAAGTGACCGCATTGGACTTGCCCGCTTCCATGTTCGTCTCGAACGCGCCGTGGCGATTGCCAGCGAAGAAGCTGACGACGCTGGAACCGTGCTCGGCGATCTGCTCCTTTAGCGCCTCTTTCTCCTGCTCCGTGATGAAGAATTCAACAAAAGCCTTCTGGTACACGTAACCGCCGCGCGGCCCAAATCCGAACGCCGGGTCGCTCGAGTCAATCCCGTCGACGGACGGCTGCGAACCGACCGTCCACCAGGCTTTGCCAGATTCGCCCGCAGCATTGCGAGTGGTAGGTGATGCGTTAAGGCGCAGGAGCGCTTCGCGGATCGATTCCGTCTCCTGCATCAGTGGGCCGTCACACCAGGGGATGACTTCAAGCTTGCCTTCGAGGTACTTAATGAATAGGTCCGAAATGTCGCCGATGCTCGTAGGGTGGCCCCATGCACGGAGCGCTTCTGCGGGCTGGATACACGGAAAGAAGGAACTGTGTAAGGAAACGAGGATGACGCCGAGCGGGGGCCGTACCGAGAGAGACTCACCGGAACCTTGAGGCTTGCGCCGTAGCCGTCCATTTCACCATAGGCAGGGCTGCGGATGTCGCCGAACCGCCCGTTGGGGAACTCGTCCCACGTGTCGTTGCGGATTATCGTCTGCCTCGCAGAAGAGGACGAAGAAGGGTGCAGGCCACCGCCAGCAGAGCCGACGACGGCGAATGCGGAAGACGGGTGCAACACTTGCTGCGCTAGCTTCGAAGCCGTGTTGGATGATATCAGAGCAGCGAGCGAAGCCTCGACTGCTTCCTTGGGGGAAATGCTGAGGTGCATGAGCGCTGCGCTAGGTGATCGCTCGTCGTCCTACAAGATGAAAATCAGTTGCAAGGGGTGTCAGCGGACACGTTTCAGAGAGTCGAGGGTATACTCACGTCTGTCTGAATCTTTCGATTTCGCCCGATGGAAATGCCGTTCGTGGAGTTGATGTCGCACTCTTCACCTTGCCGCGCAGCGGCCGCGGCCGTCGAGTGGTTCCACCATGAACACTGCGCTAGCACCCTGCTGACGCTCTTCTCGAGGTTGAGCGTGCACAAGTGGAACGCCTTGACCCTGCTGTGTGGCTCAGTCCAGATGCGCGCGATCATGTTCGCACACAGCTCGATGCCGTACGTGCGGACTTGCGCATCATCCGCCTTGATCTGCTCCAGCGCGGAAAGCACGCGCGGGGGGACACCGACCTTGCAGAGCATCGTCATGCGGCGGAAGGACTGGAAATTGACGATCGGCATCATTCCGGGGACGATCGGGATGTGCACTCCGGCTGCGTGAGCTCGGCGCTCCCACGCAAGGAAGGCATCGACGTCGTAGAAGAGCTGTGTGATGACAAATTGCGCGCCGGCCGCCTGCTTCGCGAGTAGGTTCTGGATGTCGCGCTCGACGAGGTCGATACCGTGCTCGCCGTCTCCGACGGTGTGGTTGGCGAGCAGCGCATCATCTGGGTGACCCTCAGGATAGCCCGCGACGCCGATGCAGAAAAAGTCGCCGTGCTCCTGCCGGATGAAACGGACGAGGTCCACGGCGTGCTGGAACCGGTCGTCCGCGGCGACCCAGTACTCGTGCCCGCGCGGCGGGTCGCCCCGCAACGCGAGAATGTTGCGCACACCTGAATTTCGTGCTTGCGCCAGGCTGGTACGAAGCGATTCGACCGTCACGTTTGTGCACGTCAGATGAAGCAGCGCATCGATCCCGCTTGAGGGCGAGGTAGTGTCTCCTTCTGCCGACGAGGGCGACCCGGGGCTGTCTGGCCCCTGGTTCAATTGATGAGCTTTCAGCTTGGACTCGAGCGAGAGCGATCCGCTGCCCGAGTATGGCAATTGGCCCTTTTGTATCCGCGTAGCCATCTCCACACTCCAGCGGTCCGTCGATCCTCCCGCACCCCAGGTGACGTTGACCCAGCTGGGAGCATGCACTGCAACCTCCTGTCCGTCGACCATATCGCATTCAGCTTGGCCGCTGAGGCCGGCCGCTAGCACAGAGGGGGAAGGATCAAAAGCGATCGACGCAGGGCGCGCCATGCGCGCAATTCTGGCGTAGAGGTTCTCCAGGCCCTGCGTCGTCTTGGGCGGGAAGAACTCGAGCGAGTACAGCGGCCGCTCCTGGCGATCTGAGTGTGAATCTGCACTAAAATGCAAGACTTCATCTTGAAAGTATGCTGCATTAGGCTTGCGCACCTTGGCTAGCTTTGTCGTGAGATGTGAGGGATGGGCGAGGGATAAAGAGGAGGCTGGGGAGGGCTGATGGGCAGCGGAGATATCATGGTCGGACATGGTGCGTCAGTCCGTGGCTGCGTGCAACGGAAGGCGCTCGCTGGTTGACAAGACGCTGCACTTTCGTCTTTGGCTTGCTTGTCTTTCCGGACTTCAGCGAAGCTTCACTCTGGCCACCATCTGTGCTCAGACTGTGGCAAGGACCTGAGCCAGCAGAACAAACAATTGAACACCGAGGTGGGAAATGGACAAGGAGGGGAATATGGAAAGTTCATGCACAATCTATACCATGGGGTCCGGTTTCTCGGCCGTGAGTAAAGCTGTAATGCTTAGGGTTACGTCGGGGAAGCGCCGTCCGTGTCAAACCTGGTGAATTTCAGCGAAACGGGGATTTTCCAGCGGAATTCACCGTGTACATGCGTATCGCGTTATCAGGTTCGCAAGCAAATCAACGGCGCGTGTTATCTGGACGGGCGGCGGGAGAAGACTGATGCAGTGCCTGGGAGTCATCACGCGACCCGCGTCAGCCACACCAGTCGATGACTAGGTTGAGCAATAAATAGAGACGTGGTCGTCGTCACCCTCCCACCGCCTTCTCCTCGGAGTCATTATCATCGCCAGACTCAACTCGATCTCCTCTTTCTCGTCGTCTCGCTCCCCACGCATCCATCGCCGACGTCGTGGTCGGCCTTGGCCTCGCCTGCGGCCCGCCAGCTGGCCTTGCTCACTCCCATTCATTCCCCCGCCGACCTCCCTGGTCCCTGCCGTTGACGCACCACAGCATCCCCGTCTCGAGGCACCATGCTTCCTACCCAGGCCAGCAACTGGTCCGCCCTTCTGCAGCAACTCCTCCTCCTCTCCACCGCCGCCGCCAGCTTTGGCTCTGGCGCCTATGCCTTCCACGGTGGACTCGCCTCCGCGGCGTCCAGCAGCAGCGGCTCGCGCATAGTCGCGCAGGACGTCGCGGCGCACAAGGCCGCCGGCTATCGCAAGACGCTCGGTTACGGCCCTCAGCACCCTTCTGCCCTGCACGAACCCGGAAACAAGGCATCGGACAGCCTGTATACTACCTTTGCCACGGCCAGCAGCGGCGTGCATGCTGACCTCAAGGACGGCGCATCAGCCGCGTCTCGCTTGCTCAACTCGCTCAACGACGAGCTCGCGAGCTACGCGCAGCTCGCCAGCAACACCCCTCCGTTGTCTCGTCACCCTTCACTCTCCGAACGCGTGCAGCAGTCTGCACAGTGGCTACTCCTCTCCCTGACACCTTCCGATGCACCCCCACTCCTCTCGCCCGCACTATCGGCCGCTCGGCAGGTCGAGTGGCGCATCCGTGAGGACTCTTACGTCGACACCTCATCGGGCATCTCGCACGTCTACGCGCGCGCCATCGTCACGCCCGAAAACCGTGAGATTGTCAATGCAGACGTCAACATCAACATCGCTCCCGACGGCAAGATCCTCAGCTACGGCAACTCGCTGTACGTCGATGCCATTGACAATACCGTGCGCTTTGCCGCTGCCACCTCCAGCGACGCGTCGCATGACTTCACCATGAACCTCGATCAGGATGGCATGGGGAAGGCCAAGCTGGTCGACCCACGCTTGGCTCTCGCCCACTTCCTCGCCGAGGCATCGCCATTTGGCTCGTACGCCGTTGACCTCGACGCACGCGCTGAAGCATACGCGGCGGCCATGCGCACGCGGTCACCGCGCAAGGATGACAGCAGCGGCAAGACCGACACGTACACGATCACCAGCGCACCGCTGACCATGGACCCCGTCTACGCCAAGCTTGCTTACCTTCAGGTCCCGGCCGACGATGGAATCGGCATGGAGCTCCAGCTGGTTTGGAAGATGGAAGTGCCCATGCGCGACAACAGCTATGAGGCCTGTTTGCTTGCTACGATGGCCGCGCCGGGCGAAGCGTCGGTCAAAGATTACGACAGCCAGCTCGGACGCGGCAGGACGCTGAGCGTCGTCGACTGGGTGCAGAGCATGCCTGCTGCGCACCGCACCGTCCAGCTCGAAGCCAAACGTGACTTGACTGCCCTCACATGGACGCACCTGCAAGAAACCTCCGCCAGCATCGGAAACAAGGCCGCGAACGGCATGCAAGCGCTGGAGCAGAATATTGCCGCGCTACTTGAACAGGGCGGCGTCTACTTGGAGCAAGACGCTGATAGCGTAGACGCCGACCCGCTTTCGAAACCTCCAGTTTCCATCACCGAACAAGTCGACGACCACGTCAATGGTGACGAACTCGCGTTGCAGGACTTCCCGCGTGACCCAATGCTCAAGGTGTTCAAGTGGGGCTTCAACGACCCGACCGACGGCGTGCGCTCGATCGAGAACGGTGTGCGCCCGCACTCGCCCGCCAGCCCGCTCGGTTGGCACCGCACGCTCCTCCGCAGCGACCCATTCGCTAACAGCGATGGCGACAGTCATTCAGCGCGGCACGGTAAAGGGCATGGAGGACGCACGCAGCCGAGGCACGAGGACGGCAAGTACGTCGTGTACAAGGACACGCGCGGGAACAACGTTCTCGCCAGCGCCGATCCGGTCGGCGCGGGCGACTGGGAGGGTGCAAAGCGGCCAATCGCCAAGCGTATCTCATCGAGCAGAAGTGGTTCTTCCAAGGATGAGGGCGACGACGAGTGGATCTTCGATTTCCCCTTCCCCTGGCGAGCGTACGACAAGAATCATACCGAGCTGGATCCGAGCGTATACAGTGATGCGAGCACGACACAATTGTTCTACCTGTGCAACAAGTACCACGACTTCCTCTGGGGCTATGGTTTTGACGAGCTCTCCGGCAACTTCCAGGCAGATAACTTTGGTCGCGGCGGCGCAGGCAACGACCCCGTCATCGCTTTCTCGCAGGATGGCGCCGGCATGAACAACGCAGACTTTATGACGCCCCCGGATGGTCGCAAGCCGCGCATGCGCATGTACAAGTGGAGCAGCACGCCGCAGCGCGACGGCGACTTTGAAGAGGGCATCGTCATCCACGAATACTCACACGGTCTCTCGACGCGATGTGAGTGGCAAAACGCGATCACATGAACTTTGGGAGCATGCTGGTATGCATGTGATCAAACTTACCCGTACACTCTGCTTAACCCCTACTGCCTCTCTCCCCCTCCCCCCTTAACTTTCACTCGCTCCACAAGTGACCGGTGGCCCAGCGAACAGCGGCTGCTTGGGATGGGGTGAGGCCGGTGGCTTTGGCGAGGGCCAGGGTGACGCATTTGCGACTATCATCCGCCGCAAGCACGCGAAGGCACATGACTGGACTATGGGCGAGTGGGCCTCGCACACCAAAGGCGGCATCCGCAAGTACCCGTACAGCACCAACATGACTGTCGACAAGGAGCTCTACTCGGACCTCGACAAGCCCGGCTACGGCTTCTCCGTGCACGCCATCGGCGAGGTCTGGGCCGGCATGGTCAACGAGCTGGTCGAGGGCCTGATCCTCAAGCACGGCTTCACGCCAGACCTGTTTGTCCCGCTGCCCAACGCGACGCAGGCCGATGCCGATGCGTTCTTCCTGCGCGAGGACGAGACGCCCAAGCAGCGCACGAGCACCCGCCGCATCCCCAGGCACGGCAACTCGCTCGCCGTCCAGCTCCTCATGGATGGCATGAAGCTGCAGCCTTGCAGGCCTGGTTTCCACGACATGCGCGACGCCATCTTGCAGGCTGACGAAAATGTGAGTTGCTGCTGCTGCGCCTTATAGGGTCGGATGCGGTGTGCGGCAGGGGTCGGACGCGTGGTCAAGGATACTGTGCTGATCATCACATTTTTTTTTGTTACACCCATTATAGCTCACCAACGGGAACAATACTTGCGTCATCTGGACCGCCTTTGCCAAACGGGGCCTCGGCACGGACAGCAAGATCGAGCTACAAACACCGTGGGGCGGCGGGGTCCGTACAGACGGGTTCAAGATTCCCAAGAAGTGTCAGGCGGCCCAGCATTGATGGCTGATTGCCTGGTTCATCGGAGTACGCCCTTACCGCCTCGAATTGAGCTAATTCCGCTCCCCGTTGCCTTCGTGGGTCCTAAACACCACCATCCGCAGCTTCATGCCTTTCCGACCAAGAGACTCCAATGTTTTCGTTACGACCGTGATCCCGTTCCGTTGTTTTGTCTGCGACATTCCTAGTACCAATTCTCTCAATCAATATCAGCACCTCCAGCAATGATCGCGCATCGAAGATCCTGGCTATCTCATATCGGTACTTGTATCATAAAGGCTCGTCAGACGTACCAATACATACATACTTGAATGTTGAAGGAAGCCATCCTGTCACACCATGCAACCAGCGGAATTGTGCAAGTCGACTTCGTCTCACAAAATTGTTTGGCCCCGCGCTCCTGACGCCGTGCACGCTCCGTTTCGATACATCCAACGACTTGATTGAATCATCGGCTCCACAGCCAGCCGATCTGGCCATTGTTCGGCTAAACATTATCAGAAGGATCGGTTCGCATCTATCTGTCGACATGCAGCCACTTCGTGTGCTGATCATTGGGGGTGGCGTGGGCGGAGCAAGCCTTGCGCACGGGCTCCAACGGTCCGGAGCCCCAGTCGACGTCAAGGTATTCGAGCGCGAAGAGCACCCTCATTCTGGGCTGCACGGGTATCGAGTGGGCATCAGCCCGCAAGGTGCCCATGCACTGCAGCAGCTTCTCCCGGAGGACCTGTTCAAAATGTTTCTGCATACGTCGGCGCTTCCACCGAAGCACTTCGTAATGCTCGACCAGCATCTGGACCGATTGCTTGCAATGAACATAAGCTCAGTTCCAGAGGACTCAGTAAAGAAGCATGACGCACAACTGCCGGTTGATCAAGAGCATAGCGTGTCGCGCATGAACTTGCGACAGGTCCTCTTCACCGGCCTCGGTGATTCGTTGCTGCTCAACAAGCAATTCGTCCGGTACGAGCTGCACGACGGTGGTAATTGCACAGTGACAGCTCATTTCGCTGATGGCACTAGCTATGACGGTGACATACTGATCGGTGCAGACGGCTCAAGGTCATCAGTGCGGAAGCAACTGCTGCCTGACGAGAAAGTCTTCGAGACGGGCATAATCGCGCTGGCAGCCAAGTTCCCGTTATCTGTCCTTTCCGACAAGGGAAAGAGCAATGCACCGGATCTGCCGGAAGAGTGTCAGCGTGCAGTGACCATTCTAGTCGGCAAAAATGGCGTGGGCGGCAGCCTCCACTCCATGGCCTTTCGGGACGCATCCCAACTCGACGCAGCTGAGCGCGACAACTTTAAGGACCTGCTGGATCGGTGTGAACCGTCCATGCAAAGCTGGGCGCATTGGGCGTTATGGGGATCGGAAGACAAGTTTCAAGCGGATATTGACCAGCGCAAAGGGAAAGGCGTGATGGACGCTGCAAAGGACCTGATAAAGCAACAAGGATGGTCCGAAGGCATGCTGCGCCTGATCGAGCTCTCTGACCCGTCCTCCGCTTTCTCAATTCGCATCAAAACGAGCGAGCCGCGCAAGGCAGGCTGGGAACCATCTGATCACGGCGTGGCGTTGCTTGGTGACGCGGTACACACCATGGCGCCAGGGAAGGGCATCGGCGCCAATACGGCGCTCAAGGACGCGTTGCAGCTGTGCAACAAGCTTGTCGCTCTCTCGTCCGAGCTCAAGTGCGATATCGACACGCCGGTCGTCGGGCCCGAGCGACGCAAGCTTGTCAAGGCGGCAATCGGTGCGTATGAGGAAGAAATGCGAGGATACGCCTATCCCGCGGTCATTGCTTCGCGCTCGAGGATGGACGCTAGAGGGTGGGAGCATCATTACCCGCTCTACTCGGCCATTCTGTACTGGTGCATGTGCACCCTTCTTAGGCTCGTTGATCGCTCGTCCGGATTCAAGGAGCTCATGCGCAGGCAGATGATCAAGGGGAGGGCACGAGAAGAGGCGTCGGAATGAATTCATCGAAGGCAGATATCTGGTGAGAGGTGACACAGCTTGGGACTTTATGACCTGTATGTCCAAGGCCCGAAACAGCCGATCAACGGGGCTTCCTTACGTCCTGCCGTCTAACGTGCCTAAATGTGTGGAATCTATTCGAATATCCATGCTCGATTCGATGGCGTGCGTTTGCTTCACTCCCACCGCGTGATCGATGTTTAAGTCGAACAGAGCTTCCCTCGCTTGGATAACTGTACAGCGCTGCGGACGGGGGATGATTTCTGGTGTAAGCTACATCACCAAATTGTCGAATATTGAGTTCTTGCATTTTCGTGCGCTGTATCGTACACCTACCACATATCCCCCTCAAATAGACTGCGACACACCCTTGTCCAAAGGGAACGGTCGCATGGTTTCCGATCATGATAGGCAATATACTTCACAGAAACCGGGAGCAGGCATCACCATTAGCAATTACATTCACGATATGCGCTGTAGCCACAACTCCACATTGTGCTTCCCATCTTCCGTATTTGACACAAGCTGTGCTTGCCGCGGTGCTTTTGCCCCTACTTTTACCTGAACACTCGCGACCTGCTTCCACTCTTCCACATGTTTGCGTTCGTCATCTGAGCTTTGCGTCTTTCCTTGGCCCTCGTACCGATCCTGATCCTGAATGCTTCTGTCTATTCGCTGTGTCCGCATCGTCGCACAGAGCGTGTCGCCGACGTAAAATGGCCCAGGGCTGGCGGGAGAGCCAGTCATGATGATATCACCGGGTACGAGCGTCATAATGCTAGATGCATATGCTACGAGCTCGGCGATGCTGTACACCATAGACGATGTGTTGCCACTTATGACTGTCTTGTCGTTCAGCTGTGTACACAAGACAAGAGGCGCGTCAGCGAGTTTGCATGAAAAGGATCTGTGGCACTTCGACAACATACCTTTAGGCTGAGCTCCACATTTGCCGGGTCCGGAACGTCATCCAGCGGCACAAATCCGCTGAGCGGCGCGAAGCCGTCAATCGCTTTCGAGGTGGTCCATGGTAGCCCTCGTTGCTTGGCATCATCCAATACTTCTTTTAGGGCAAGTTCAATTCCAAGCACTGCGAGCTTAATATAATTCAGCTACTCCACTTTCTCTTCTCATTTCAAAAGAGTTGAGTCTCACCGTATCCCGCTATGCAATCACTCGCTTGTGAAACAGTAACATCTTTTGTCTGCTTTCCAATGACAGCACACAGCTCGACCTCATACCATCCCATACAAATTTTGTCCGGGTCGCGCGGACACGACGGGAGTAATGCTTTCCCACCGTTTACTATCGCAGAGGTTGGAGGCATGAGGAACAGCAGCGGCTCAGGGCGCGCCTTAGGCCGCTTGGCATCCGGGAAGTTGTAGTCGTAGCTGCGGCCGATGCAAATGAGCTTGCTCGGCGGCGGCGGTACTAGTTGTGATTGCCCGAGTACGGGAGTATAGATGACGGCACTGCCTCTAGATGAGTCCCCTTTTATTATACAACCATCCAGCGAGGAGTCTGTATCGGTGACACGCCCTAACGACGATGAGGATGAGGGTTCATTCAACGCGCCCGCTTCCTTGTGTCGAGGCTGATATCGCGCCTGTCGCTCCTCATGTTTAGCCCCGATGGTATCCCATGTCTTGGCGATGCGCTTGACTTCTGGAAGAATCATTGTCTGTCAAGTGCGTGAGGACGTAGTCTAAAGATTGAGATGTTCCCAAGACCGGAACCGAGGGCAGTGAGTGTTCGGGAGCGTCCCTTCAGCGTCGGGCGTTCCGAAGATGTGAGGTTTGGGAGCACCCAACAGAAGAGCGAGTCGACCCTGGTTGGATCCGCTCTGGCGCACGGGCTATCAGCAGAGAGACATTCGACTCGCCATTATTCACTAACCCTGGTTTGGCCCATGTACATGGTGCATACCACGCTGGATGCAAAAACGTCTGTGTTCGAGATGTTGATTCGGCGAAGATGAGAAATGATTGTGCGTGAGTTCAGTCAGTAACTGTGTGACTACATGCTGCACATCGGGGAAAGCCAAAGTAGGGTTATGCGCACGCTATCTAATCGATCTTATCCCATCTCGGCCCGTAGGCCGGCCGATGACCGGTCCGAAGTCCATAAGGCAGATGTTTGCCCTTCGGGACGCCCCCAACACGCTGACGATCCTTGGGGAAGGAGCATACATTTCCTTGAATCTCAAGCTGTGAAGGCGTCTCAAGCAAGATTGCGCTCTGGATACAGTGAAGGCTTTCGAGTGCAGACAGCTGCTTCCAACCTTGGGCCAACTGTCACACCCCCTCCAGCAGCTCACACGGCGCCGCATCATGTCGACCCCAACATGCACCGCTTTAGCGGCATCGGAGAAGTTTGTTCACATCTCGCACGCCGAAGCGCTTCGCTTCGTGACAGAGATCCTGCGCGGCAACGGCGTATCCGCAGACGACGCGGCCGTCGTGGCCGAATCTCTAGTTGATGCGGACCTGCGCGGCGTTGACACGCACGGCGCCAACCGCATACCGTCGTACATGGAGCGAGTGCGGAAGGGCGTGCTCGATCCAAAAGCGCAGATGCAGCTGACTCAGATCACGCCAGTTGTAGGACAACTGGATGCGAAAAACGGCGAGTGCCCATCGCCACTCAGAGCACCCATTTAAGCAACGTATGAATTTCGCTGAACAAACTTATTTCGCTTCCAGGTTTTGGAAGCGTGGCAGCAATGAAAGCGATGGACTTCTGCATTTCCGCCGCCCAGACGTTCGGCATCAGTATGTGCTCCGTCAAGCACTCGAACCACTTTGGCATGTCCGCCGCTTACGTCCTGCGGGCATGCGAAGCCGGAATGCTCAGCCTCGTCTTCACCAACTCCTCGCCTGCTTTGCCCGTTTTCGGTGGCACGGAGAAGCTGATGGGCGTCTCGCCAATTGCATGCGGTGCGCCGTCTAGCAGCGGCGGGACAGATCCACAAAATGGGTGCGCACCGCACTTTGTGCTTGACATGGCACCAAGCATTGCGGCGCGTGGTAAGATATATAAGGCGAAACGGCGCGGAGAGAAGATCCCGCTGGACTGGGCGCTCGACGCGCACGGCAACGCGACGGACGATCCGGCCGCCGCACTTGAAGGCGTCATGCTGCCAATGGGCGGCCCCAAGGGCAGCGCGCTCGCGATAATGATGGATATCTTCAGCGGTGTCCTGTCCGGCTCTGCCTTTGCAGGCGGAGTTACTAATCCGTACCACCCGACCAAGCCGGCGGACGTGGGCCACTTCATCATGGCTATCAAGCCGGATCTCTTCGTCAGCGCAGACGAGTTCCGGCAGCGCATGCAGACGCTTTACGATCGCGTGACAGGCTCGACTAGAAGACCTGGCGTCGATCGGATCTTCTTCCCTGGTGAAATTGAAATCGTTACGGCACAGAAGCGCAGGAGGGAAGGGATCCCATGGGTACAAGCCGAGATTGAGGGGCTCAATGAGGAGGCGCGCAAGGTGGGCGTTAAGGAGCTGGTACCAATACAATAATACAGAAAGCAATGGAAATGCAAACTCTGGATACCCCAGAGCATTGCTGTAGCCCCCTTTTCAGCTCAATGGCTTGCCATTGAACACGACCGTGCCCCTCGGTGCATTTGGCGTCACCGGCGAAGCGCCCTTCTCATTTTGCACTTTCTTCACCGCATCCCTTACAGGCACTTCAGCTAACAGCTTCTTCCCATCCACTTTGATTTCGATCGCTTTTCCTTTGTCTCTGGTCTTGATCTGATCGCCATCAGCTCTAGATGACGCTAGTAATTCTCCCTTTTTACGTAAAAAATCGAGATTGGACTGGCCAGCGGCAGCAGCAGGCTGCACGTTCTCCTGTCGGCCAGAAACAGACGGCTTGCTACTGCTGCTCTTATTGCTCTTCATGCTCGATGTATCACCCATCGTTGTTGTAATCGCAGGCGCCCCACTACCGCTGCTCTTGCTCTTGCTCTTGCCTTTGCTCTTGTCCTTGTTCTTGTCCCGAAGAATGACAGAAGCCGCATCCCACTTGGCGTCCACGTAGCTACCCTCCATCAAGATCTCCTCCTTTTTCGCCTTGCTTTCCCTGCTCTCTGAGGGCACCAAGAATGAGTAGAGCGACATGAAATCCAACCGCGCAAAGTCAAAGGTGCGGATATTGGATGCCGCATCAGTGGCTTCATGGGACCTGTGACCAAGCATTTTGCTGCTGCTAAGGTGGCGAAGGATGCGCAGCGGTACCGCCACCGCAGAGGGCACGATGGCATTGCTTGACACTCCATCATATATATCAAGAGATAGGAGAGCGCCTTGCGTCTCGGCCAAATATGCGGCATCGTACGCCAACATTACCAACGCAGAACGAAAGCTCTTGACCGCTCTGGCAAGGTCCACTTTTCGAGACTTGCGCTTCTCTCGGCTAACATCAGACGTCTGCAGCTGATCCTTTGCAACTGCTGTGTCTTCCTCGTCGCTGTCAGCCCCTCTGCAACCAGTCTGCGCATCAGGAGACTTGGATGAAATAATGGAAGCGCTACCGGGAAAGTAGCCGCTGCTGATATGAATGAAGCTCTTCGCCCCTTCAAAAGCAGACGCAGCCATGTCTAACGCACTGTGACCCACGTTAGCCGTAGGAGTATCCTGCTTGGGAAGCAGTGCTTGGTATGCGCTCTCTTCAAGCTGAAGAAGATGCTTACCAGCTTCAATGCCTGAGCCGGCCCAGTACTCGCTTGGCTGAATGACAGCGCAAACGTCCCTGCTGCTGTAAGAGGGTTGGAACGGAAGCATTACGCCGAGGTAGGAGCTGAGTAGTTGAAGCAGCGCTGTTGCGTGTGACACGGCCCCATTGATATCGTCCAGGGCGAAACGATGTATGGAGTGCGGCTGCGGCAAGACGACGCCAAGGATAGTCCAATCGCTCGCTGTTGGGCTGATTGTAGTTCTTGACGTCTCCTTTCCCCGCAAAGTGTGTGCTGCTGCGGTAGCAAACGCCTGCTGAGCCCTCAGAGCGATCAGGCCAGAAACCCTACCTTCCTTGGCAAGCGTCCCAGCAGGAGGCTGGATGTTGAAGAGACCAAGAGTCTCGACGACGAGGAGCTTTCGCGTGCTGTCAAGCACAGCAGGCGGCGTATTAGCAAAAGATCAAAGTCCGCTCTATAATGTCAAAGGTCTCACACTGATAGGTCCGATGCGAGACGGTCCTGAATTGCGCGCAGCTCCTCAATCTTGTGCTTTACTCGCGCAACTCTTGCTAATATGCCTGGATACTCCCGGTTATCCATTTCATTCGAGCCAAGCTGGACTGGCCAAGCGCCCGGGCTCTTGGTCAATACATCATTGTGCTCTTGTTGCTGGAGCTCGAGCTGCTGCGCAGCAGCGAGATTCTGTCTGCGGTGTGCAAGCTCTCTCTTGCGGCGCTTGAGTGCTTGCTTGAGAGCCGAGACATCACTACTTGACTGGTTCGAATCATGCTTAAGCCGTTGCAGGCTATCCTGTAGCATCGACTGCCAGGCACGCGCGCTCCTGTAGATGTGGCCGACGGTGGTTACAGTATCCAAGCCGTCTCTTGGTGTGCTTGAGTCACCATCAGAGAAGGGATTTAGATGCGAAAAGTCATTGGCTGCTCTGCCGCCCTTATTGATATCGTTCATCAGATCAGCCACGCTGCTCGTTGGTCCGAGCAGCGCCTTAACTTTCCCTGCACCTTTGACCCTCTTCTCTCCAATCCTTCTGCGATCTTCAAGATGATCATCGATGCGCTTGGATAGACAGTCCTGACAGAACCAACCTTTGAGCTGCGACTGTTTGCAAAAGCGGCACTGTCCATCGAATGGGACGCGCTTCGCATGATGGCGAGCACGGTGGCGATGCGAGCCCGAGGGAGGCCGGATGAGATCAGGATGGGCTGCGCTGTAGCCCATCGCCGTCTTTCCCGGGCGCAAGCGTTCCTTTTCGCTGGGCGTTCTTGGGCTCCCGCTAGCCCTCATTGTACCGCTGCGAGGAACGCCTGCGCTGCGCAGATTGGACTTGATTGTAGGTGGTCCATAATTTTGAGCCGGCACTTTCCTGTTGGTGCTCGGTTGACCGCCCTCAGCAATCGTGTCGAGCATGATATCTAATCTACCATGATTCAAAGCGTCGCCCAATGGCATTCTTCAGTTGTTGTCGCACTCCAATCGGCGAGGCAGATAGCCTGATCTCACGGATCACATCGGCTCCGCAATATTGTCCAGACTTGCTCAAGCGCTTCCCCTTTCAGGCGATGATGCTTTGCTCCCATCGAGCTTTCACGATGGCTTGAGGAGTGTACGTTGCATCACTCGCAAGGCGTCCAACGCACACGAAGTGATCGACTGACGCAGCATACCTTGTAGCTTTAAGTTCCGTGCACGGTGCGGATCGAGATCGTGAGTTTGTGCCCTCGTGTGGGCGTGTGCCATAAGCGAAACTCATCGCAACTTTTGTCGGATGTGACCAATTTCAACTTACGAAGTCAGGCACCCTACTATAGCTACAACAACTTCATTTGTCTTCCATTTCGCAGCTTCATCTATTTGAAGGCCACGCTGTCTTCCGTGGCACATTCATGCACCGGATTGAGCACACGTTGTTCGCTGTGGTTAATGAGAACGCGAACAATATATGCTACTGCTGTGCAAAGTCTCTCTAACGACTTGCTGATGGGATTACGCAGGCAAGCAACCGAGTAGAGCGTTTGCTGCAGCTTAGGTATCTATTGCGTAGCTCGTACCGGGCAGACTTGAGCCCATCTCTCTGTTTGCCGCAAACGCAGTGAAGGAAGATGCCATCAGGATACGAATCGGCGTGGGTCACGACGTTGGTCACGTAGTCACGACATGAGCTTCATGCTGCCACCGGCGGCGAGGCATGTATCCCTATTCCAGTCTATTGCCTTTCCTCGCCGTAAATGCAGCCCTCGTTCTCGAAGAGACAGATCCCCGGGACTTCTCCTCTCAGAGGGAAGACCTTCGCAAGAAAAGATGCAGCATCCTTCACTGCTTTTTCACCGGCTGGCCAGGCCCCAGAGACTTGTAGTGATGATACTGTATAGCCTGGACTATGAAAAGCATGAAAGCATTTCCTTTTACGATGTTTGTTCCACGAAAAAAAGGAGAAACAGCGCTACGAAACGCGCAAGTGGACCAGGAGAAAGGGTGATGGATGTATTGCGAAATAAGTGAAAATGATGCGAGCATGGCAGCGAGTAAAAAGGATTGTACGGGTTGTTTGCATGATGCGATGAGAACGTAGTGATTAAGCAACGAATGTTGGGAGAAGCATCGCCTTAGCTCTCCTTGCCGGTATCTGCGACCTCCCTTCCCGTCGCCCCTCTCCAGATGCCATCCCTTTGGTCCACTTTACCGTAAATGTGTGTGCTCTGGCATCTCCGCAGTGCGTCCATCCATTCTGAGACGATCTGAGCAGAGTCTACCATGACGTTGCATCTGCGTGTAGGCAGAGACAGGAAGAGAGATTTGTCAGATAGAGCAAAGCCGACGTAACAGAGTTCGAGGCACTTACTCCTGACTGTGGAACCACGACTGGGTGTCCTGGTTCCCGGAACCGATGATGCCGACCTGCCCGTCGTAAGCAGCAAATTTGACATGACTACAAGCGAGCGTAGTAACGAACGTCAGTAGGTTGATTGCCAGCCGTTTATGCTGGGCTATCTTGGGTCGGCACGTACCAATTGCGCTGCTTCCGCACTGCATTCAGCGGCCGCGTCATGTCCTTGCCAGTGTACCAATATACTTCTAGGAACTTTTCGTTTCCCTTCCCCTCCTTGCGCAGTTGTCTGTAGAGCGCAGTGACAACCTGCTCGTTCGTGCCGCCCTGGAAAGGCATGCTCTCGCTCTTATCGTTGAATCCAAGATCGAGCCAAAGCTCGACACGCACGTGCCTTTTAACGCATGCCAGCACGGCCGCCTTGATCGGCGATGCGTTGAGCGTCGGGCTTTGAATAAACACGTGCTTCTGTGCGTACCGGAAGCCCGCAAGCCAAGCTGCGTCCTGAGGATTGCGGATGTCCGAGTGGCCCGGCGTGCCATGCGGTCGACGGTTGACCATCGCGATCGGTACCGGGGCATGAGGCTTATGGAAGATGTACGGCGCAAAACCGAGCAGATCGTCTCCGTCTTCTCCGCCATTCGCAAGGGCTGACAGGAGAGATGCGGGCCTTACATTGCGGTCCTTCCCAGCTTGCTGCAGCGCCTCGAGCGCGGCGGCAGTGATCTCCCCCTTGACCTTGGAATTGTTCGCAAAGTCCAGCGAAGCGGTGATCTTGTTCAGTCGCTCAGCAGCGCTCTGCTTCGACGTCGTCGACAGTGTGCGTTGATGCACTCTACGATAGCTTGTAGTGCCGGGCGCGTGCTCCTGCACATCATGTTCAAGATCTGAAGCGCCCGAGTCGTCTTGCTGGATGCCACAGCTGCTGTCGTTGCGCGAGGCGTTCGTGTCGCCTCGCTGCAGGCCAGGACGCAGAACGTCAATACCGAGCTGAGAGCGCGCGCTGCTGCTCTCAGCACCTTGTGGTAACGCTTTGAGACTAAGTTGCGATGTACTCGGCTGTGAGATGCCGAGAGCATGTCCATTCTCCACTTTTGCCTGCGCAGGACAGACATTGACGGTCGTCTCGCCATCTGACGTAGATGACGTGGGGGTATGCTGCTGTGTAGTTGCTGGAATCAGGGCGCCGCCATCCTCTTCGACGACACTAGTGGGAATATTGAGAGCCTTGATCTTGGCCTGGGCTGCTTCCCTTCTGGCCTTGCGTGCCTCAAATGCGACATTCCTGCTGGAACTCTCACCGAGGCCGAACACTTCCAGTGCACCTTCAGCCCAGCCAGGCGGTCGTATGCCCTCCTTGTTCATGAGCGCTTCGACTATATCGGCAAAGTGGCGACGCGAAGTTGGGCTCAGCGGCGCGTCCGCCGACCCGTGCCCTTGCGCATTCGAGTGTACCTGCTGCGCCTGATGCCAGTGGCCGAAGGAGAAAGAGCCAAAAGGAGAACGTGGTTGCGACAGACTTGAAAGGTTGAGGCCCTCAAAGCCCTTGAACCGCTCGCCAAGCACTTTTTGCGCCCAGAGTGCTCCAGCCCTGCGAGCGGTCTGGTGCTGATGCTCGTCCAAATGTTCTGCGTTCTCCCTGCTCGAGCCATCCTTTGAATGAGCTAGGCCTTGCACTTCTGCGGGCAGGGGTACCGCTGCTGACTCCTGTTGATCGCCATGGTCGGCAACGGCATCGGCGTGAGCCTGCTGCTGTTGTTGCGGATAAGACTGCTGTGATTGAGGCTGGTGTGCCTCCTTGCCTTCGCCGTCCGCGACGCCGCTGCGCCTGCGCATCATGACGCTGTCGACGACATCGCCAAGCGACTGCCGGCGCCCGTACAACCGCTCCTTCTCGTCCTCGGCCTCCTCGTCGTCCTTCTTGAGGCGCTGCCGTGCGTCACGCGCACGCTCGCGCAGCGCCGCTTTGCTCGCGGACAGATGCGCCAAGATCCTCTCGATCCCCTCATCCAAATCATTCACCGACTCGCGCAGGGCGTCATTCTGGCCGCCACTGCTGTTACCTTCCACACCATCTTGCCGCTGGCTGCTGCCATGCGGCTGCAGGTGGTGGATCGAGCTGGCTGGCGCGACGATAGGGGGCGGAAACACCTGCAATGCAGACGCTCCCTGCTGGAGGTTCGTGCATTGTGCAGCGACCGAGAACGTCCCGCCGACGTCCTGTACCTCTTCGGGGGGCGCATCGACACCGGCACCCGCGCCCTTCCTGCTCACGTCGGCCGCGTTGCCTACAGCACTGGCATCAGTGACGGCGAACGCCATGCTGCTCGGCGCGGCTGTCGCGGGCTCCGTGAGGCATGGCAACGGCGGGAGCATGGTGTTGCCCCAGCTGATGAGCGCGTGGTCGTAGATGCTATTGACGATGTCACCCTCGAGGCGGACACACGCCTCAAGGTTCGGGCGGTCTTGGATATTGTTGCTGTTGACGAGCGCGACGCGGCGGTCGACGAGCAGCAGCTTCGCGTGGAACGTGCCCATAAGCGGCCGATGGTAGTTGAGGATCTCCATGTGCAGATGCGGAATTTCCTGCGGCGTCGGCAATCCATTCTCGCGCCACATGTTTGGAGGAACCGCCTTACGTAGCCGGAACAAGTCGGCTAGTGTGCGCGGTCCGCGATCCCACATGACTTTCACAACGATCTGATGCCCGAATTCCCGAGTGGTCTTACTTATGCCCTTTTGCTTTCGCAGCGCCTCGCGGCGGCTGAGCTCACATAGAGCGTCAGCGATCGTATTGACGTTCTTGCCACCCTGCCAATAGTTCGTCATGATGATCACTTCGCGCTTGGCCGCGACGATGCAGTCGTAGTAGTGCCCGATGATATCCGGACCCGTGCTGAAGATAGACAGCGGCACGATTCCAGTCGTTGCAAGCAGTGCAGGAGATACGACGCCCGACATTTGGTTGCGTGGAAGTGGTAAGAGCGAGTCGGCGAGCATCTGCAGAGCAGTTAATGTCTGGTCAGTAGTCGAATGAGGGGCAAGATGTAGAGGAATTGACTCACCATTAGGTATAGCCTGCTCGGCGCGGGTTCACCTTGTACATCGGCGCCTTGGCTCCCACGAGTCTGCGTAGCGCCATTCGCCTCAGCTGCAGCCTCTTTCTCGCCGCCTTCAGCTTCCACCTCTGCGCCACGACTCCAGCGGTAGCCAAACCGAGCGCAAATGCTTTTCAGCTCCTCGTCATCCGGCTGTAGATTTCCGGGATGGATAGCGCCCTTGTGCCAGATCCAATTGGATCCGCGCCCTTCTTCGAGCTTGTGCTTGATCTTGACTCGCAGCACTCCGCGCACAAAGCTTGGAGGCAAGGGGAACAGGTACTTGCTTGCTTGAATGGCAGAGAGGGAGATTGAAGTGGAGGCGGGGGTCGAGGCAGATTTGGCAGCAGATTTGCTAAATAATACGCTGGATTGCGAGGATTTCGCTTTGCTTCCGCTTTCGACGCCGTGAAGTGGGCCTCCGTTTGTCAGCTTTTGCTCGCCTGGCGCTTGTGACGCTTCATCGTTTTGGAGCGGCTTGTCGTCGTGAGCTTGCGCAGTTTGGGTTTGCAACTCGGTTCCAGTTTTGGAGTCAAACGTGCTCAATGAGCACGCGAGTGCGCTTGTGATACTCGGCGCACGATTTTGCGGCGGTCGTGTGGAGGTGCACCATCCTGCCCGCGTTGCCTGGTCGCGCAGTTGGTGTTTCTTGCCAGGGGGCGACATTTGAGGTAGGTGTCTCCTTCCAGCTTTCACAAAGCTGTTATAGACGCCAGCTTCTGACGGGCTGCAACCTTGGTCGAATGCGAGTAGCAGGGTGCTAGGACAGGAGCAGGTCAGGTTGACGGAGGGCCGGAATTGCTCCACTACGCGGGTGCCGAGTCTGGCTGGGAGGTGAGGTGAGGTGAGATGGAGAAGATTGGCAGAGCAATGCCCAAGGTGCAGCAATCCCAGGCGTAGGAGGCTCCTACTCCCCTGCTGTTCAGGAGTGCAACCTTCGCGACGCACATGCAACCCCGGCCGGCTATCTAAGGTCTCGGCCCACGCTCGCTGATGATGGACGACGACGATATAGGTGTACACATGGCAGCCTGAGTGGCGGCCACCCCCCGGAGCGGAGCAACACGACGGACTCTCACAAGGCTGGCAACTAGCCTCTCTCGGCCGAGAGAATCGTAGATAGCTTCGGATGGCAGTCTTGTTGAGTGAGACGTCGGTTTTTGTCCTTTGTGTGGTTGGCCGTCCCCAGCGCATTGCAATGCAATCAATTGGCCCTTGTCTGGAATTAGTAATTC